CCCCGTGATGGAGAATCTGAAATTTGGGCAGTAGGTTTAAATTTTGGTTGGTTTAAATTTTATTTTCACAAAATTACCCCCCCATTTTCATTGCCCATAAAAAATATTTTCCATTGAATGGAAAATAACCCGTAAGGTTTAAATTTTGGAAATCGTTTTTTCCCCGTTTTTTAAAACTAGTTTGAGCAAAGTTAAAAGTGACAAGCCCTTCCCAAAAAAAACCCTGAAATTTTTCTGTTTTTTTGTTCAAAATAATTTTCAAATTTTTAAAATAAATCAGGGGTTTCCTGTTATCAATTTTTAGACGTTCATCCATTGGAGTCACGCAAGCCAAATATCTACCCGTGAGTCTTTTCTTGAAAGTTTTACAGACGCTCAATCTTTGTCCGGTCGAAGAAAAAATGCTGCCGTTGTAGGCAGATTCATATTATAAAATGCTGCCGTCGATAGCAGAAATACCATGAAAGTGGCTAACATTCTGACAGGAAAATCAATTTCAATCTTCTATCAATTCCTCTTTTCTTTGCGTCCTTTTAATCGGAATTGAGACGTTAAACTATCATTTCTAATATTTTCTCAAGATTAGAAAAGTTATTTTAATGCGGTATGTGCATCGAAAAAAGCTTTTTAGCCAACATGCCAGTTACAATACAAAAAGTGATGATTTAGTACGACAAAATTGCACTATAAATAGAGTAATGAACAATAAAAACTTCATTTTTTATATTCATGCTGTGTGCTTGATCTGTTGTTGGTCTGTCAGTACATGCATACAATACTATATAATATTTCTTAAAGTTTAGCAGCGCACTTCCCATTTTTTTAAGAACATAACGCGCAAATTGGCATATTGCAGCAAGTAACTTCTGTAAGGGATATGCATTTGCTCTATTGGCCGTTTATGTTCTTAAAAAAAGGAAGTGCGCTGCTAAACTTTTAATATACATTATTAGTATTGTATTGGCAATGTAACTGATAGACACAACAGATCAATCACAAATGCATGAATAGTAGAAAATTGAAGTTTTTCATTTCATTTCTCTATTTTATAGTGCAATTTGTCGTACTAAATCATCAATTTTTGTAATGTCTATATTTGATAACAGGAAATCCTGCCGTTACAGCTTACTTAATTCAAGTTTTAACGAATATCAATGTTCTATCGATTTTTTCTATTTCACGGTAATTTTTGACTTATCGCTGCCATTTTGGATTCTGATACCTATGTGTTATACGCGATCTGATTGGACGTCAAATTTGGCTCGTCCAATCAGATCGCGTATTTCAACCCAGGTATCAGACTGCTAAATGGCTACGACAATTCAAAAAATACCGTGATTGAAACAGAAAAAATCGGAATGATAGTGATATTCGTTAGACTTGAATTAGATTAAGATGTGGGAATTCTAGTTCTTTTTATTAATGTTAATGAATGATGCAGCGAAATTCCTGCCGGAATGCGCCTCAGTCACCGAAAAACGACGATTTCCCGTGTTCCACATTGTTTGGCAAATGAACATATAGTAGGCTTTTCACCTTTCTATAACTTATAAATTTTGATAGTGGAAATTTTTTTTTATATAATTTCATCGGTCCCTTTTTTATTTTGGGACCTTAATTTGTAAACCCAAATGTTTTAAATTTTTTTTTTTCAGGGGTTTTAGTAGGGGTTTCCCGGGGGCATTTTGGGTGGGGTGTCCAAAAACCCGATACCCGCCCCTGTGGAAAAACCTATGAGGGAGGAATCCTTTTCCCCCTTTTTACACGCACACGGTTTCAGTTATTGCCCCCTTTTTGCCCAAAAACTTTTTTACAGTTTACATTTTGGGGGGTGATTTATTATACAAATTTGATTTGGAGTCCCCCTTTCCCCTTTTTCCTTTCCCAAATGAAAATTCCCCTTTTTTTGTATTATTAAAGAAAATCCCCGTTTAACTTGGGGGAAATTTAAAAATGACCGTTTAAAATCCATGTTCAAAAGAGATTTTTTCAAAAAAAATGAAAAAAAAATTTTTAAATTCCTTTATATGTGTTTATAACTTATTTTAAAATGAAATTTTGATCTATTTTCATGATTTTAAATTGACCAAAAGTCGGTTTTTGATTCAAAAAACTTTCCGGGGACTGAAAAAAAATCTAACCCTTTGGTTTTGTTTGAATAATTTTTTTCACAAAATGAATTTTTATTTCAACAAAATTAAGCTTTTTGTGGTACTTAAAAAGGGTGCTTTTTTATGCCCAGAAGCTAGCAAAAAAACAATTAAAAAGGGGAAATAAAACAAAACAAGACTGGGAAATTTTTTAAATAAATTATCTTTTTTGATTTTTTACCATATGATACCCGGGGAAAAAAACATTTTTTTATTTTAAAATTTATAAAAATTTTTAAAAAGGAAAACAAAAATCAGTTTTAAGACTTTTGCCACCCCTAATCAACCCTTTTCGAAAAAATTTGGTTTTTTCTTTAAATTTTTCGGGGCATTTTGTGTAAAAAAATTTCCCTTTACTGAAGTTTTTACTTTTTTAAAATTTCATTTTTTGATTTTTAAAAATCACAGATTTCCCAAAAAGTGTGTTTTTAAAAATTTTTATTTTTTAATTTAAATAATAATATAAAATTTAAAATAGGTTAAATTTGGAAAAAGGCCCCTTAAATTTTGGTAGGTGTGAAAAATTCCCCATTTTAAAATTGGGCCTTCCTTAATTTTTTTCCCAAACCCCGGCCCATTTGTTCCTTTTGAAGTGGCGGCCCTCTTTAAAAACAAAAAGAAAAATGCACCTAGGTAAATAAAACACATAACCATTTAATTTTAAAATTTTTCTTTTTTAAAAATGAAGGAATTTAATTTAAAATGAGGAAATGTCGAAGGGGGGAAACCCAAAATTATTTCACGCAAAAAACCCCTTTTAAAGGAACTAAAGAGGAAGGAATAGAGAAAAATCTTTTTTTGCAAATTAAAATTTTCAAAAAAGTTTATGTACCCAACATTCCCTGATAATAAAAATTACATGTATTTCTAAGTAAATAACTAATTTTCATGCCCAAGGGTTTACGTGAATGGGAAGTATGTTTTTTTTTCAATTTTTAAAGGTTTCCATTTTATTTTTATTTTTTTAATTTACAAATTTAATTTCTTTTTTTAGAGATTTACATTCAAAAAAAAAAAACTTTGTGGGAATTTAAATTTTTTATTTTTCCTTGCAATTCGGGAAAAAACATTGTCAGAAAAAATCTATTCCTTCCTTCTTTAAACATGAAATGGAAAATTCTCTTCAATTACCAAAGGGCTTTGTAGGGAAAATTTTTATTTTTTAATTTTAATCTTTTGATTTATTCTATATAGGCCAAATTTTTAATTTAACAAAAAAAAAATAAAATGTCTCCTCACCCCCAAAACCCGATACTTAAAAAGAACCCCGGCCAAAAATTTAATGGGGTTCAAACTATAAAGTAAAAAAACCAAAGGGGGTTATTTGAAATTTTCAAAATGCCTTAATTACATTTTACTTAACTCACATATATTTAAAAAAAGAATAAAATATAAATAAACTGAAAAAACAAAGGCCCCCCCCCTGAATACTATTTACACAGAGGGAAATTTGCATTGTAAACTTTGACCCCTTTTTCCCCAAATTTTACAGACCGCCCAAAAGCCTCAAAAAAAGCCCTCAATTTTTTTGTAAGATATAAGAAATTTTTTAAACCCGGGTTTTTTCTAATGGGACTGCATTTCGGTGGCCCTTTAAAGGGGCCTTTAGAAATATTTTATTTTCCATTGTGGGGCACGCGACAGATTTTCTACCCTTTCGCACGCATAATACTTTCGGCCCCACCCTTTTAAAGAATTTCGAAACGTAGGGGCTATCTCGTGCGCATGTATAGTAGCTATTACGTGCGCACGTAGTAGAGCTCGCGTGCCCACGTGATAGATAACATATTTCTGATGTCCCCTCTATGCCACCGTACATGCAAGTTACAATTGGGCAAAATTAACCATCCGTCGAAATGTAAATAATCAGCATTGTAAGTTCTATGAATTCAACAACCATAGACAATGAACTGTTATTTCTTGTACTGAAGTTTATATAGAATTATTGGAGCAATGCAAATATCATTATTTTATTTTACGGTGTTCTGTCCTAGACACAAGGTCTCATAACATTTGTCAGGTACTTAATGATTAATTTTCGTATGAGCAAATAACAAAATAAGAAACAACATTGTGGTTCAATTATCAACCATTTACATTATATAGGTAAGGAAGCCTAGTAGCTTGTAATCAAATCACTCGTTTGGTTATGTAACCATCTCTAAATCAATGAATGTCCATTATGCCTCAGAAATACTTTCATTTTTATTTTTCAAAAGGTTATTGTTGTTTGTTTGTTTGTTTTTTAACGTTCGGTTATATTTTTTAGAAAGTTATTCATCGGCCAGTTACCTGAGCCATATTTTACTTCTACATGTATTTATTTTGGTAATAAGTACAGATATATCGATTTAGTATTTTGAATACAAGTCAAAATACTACTTTGTTTACATTTTGCTACTTTTATGACCCATTATTTTACATTCAGCACTTTCTTTTTCAGGGGATTTTTGATCTAATATGTACCCAAAAGCCCGGAAAAGGCCCCCCTTTCAACCCCTTAAAAAAAAAAATGGAAAAAAAAAAAATTCCCCCGAAAAATTTAAAAAAAAAAAAAAACCAAAAAAAAAAAAATTCCTTTTCATGAAAATTCCCAATTTTAAACTTTTCCGTGAATTCCCTTTTTTTAAAAAAACGGAAATTTACGAAATTTATATCGCCTTCCCTGAATTCACGGGCTAATTCAAAGAATTCACATTTCAACTTTCCCAAATTTACATTTCCAACTTCGAAAATTTACAAATTTAAATTCACAAAATTTAATTTCTAAATTCACAAATTTTAACTTCACGAAAATTACGAAATTTTAACTTTGAAAAATTTACGGGTTCAAATTCATGAATTCACGATTTCAACTTCACGAATTCACGATTTCAACTTCATGAATTCACGATTTCAACTTCACGAATTCAACTTTGTGAATTCACGATTTCAACTTCGTGAATTCACCAATTCAACTTCACGAATTCACGATTTCAACTTCATGAATTCACGATTTCAACTTCACGAATTCAAGATTTCAATTTCATGAAGTTGAAATCGTGAATTCGTGAATTTGAAATCGTGAAGTCATGAAGTTGAAATCGTAAATTCTTGAAGTTGAAATCGAGAATTCATGAAGCTGAAATCCGGAATTCATGAAGTTGAAATGCCCCCACCGGTCTTTTGTAAATATGCCCTTAAACTATTACCCAAACATTATAAAACTCCTATTTGCCATTTTTACAAAACAAACTATTCATTCGTTCCTGAGGCATAACATACATTCAATTCATAAAATGAATAGCTCTACAATTTACAAAATATGTATTTGTATTGTATGGAAACGAAATAGTACTTTTCGTGAATTTATCTTTTTGATTTGAAAAGAAGGATTAGAAGCATAATGAAGTCGTATTAAACAGGTAATACGTCCTTGTATTAACGGCTTCATGTGTATATTATACACATGTAGTAGCTGCAGCCAAATATATGCTAACACCCCTTATATAGTTGATCGTAGAACCTTTCAGATATTCCATAATTCAATCTATATTGGTCATCACCAGCATAATGTTCTTATTTGTGCGACTGAATAATTAGTAAGAGCTGAAATCAACATATTGATTTAAAGTGACGATTATTTTTCGACAAGAGAAGCTATTCTTCATGATTTCATCTTAAACATGAATATTATTAGAATTTATTATTTCGTATTAAATGTAGACATTCCTTTATTTATTCTGTTCATATTTTCCTAGAAATATGCACTCGAGTGACAGGACTGTTTAATAGGGGAATAAAGCGAAGCGATTTGGAATGATAAATATGCAACGAGTTCTATTTAATATATTCAAATTATTGCAATGTGCTTAAATTTAACAAACTTTCAAAAGTTTTTAAGTAAATTGTTTTTTAAAAAGTATTTCTCGATACTTAATTGCTTTTGTTAATTTGGAATTTAGAAGTGTTTTATTTTATATTATGTTACATCATTTTACACTTCTTGTAGTTTTTGTTTTATCCTACAAGACATTTGTCTAAATATAAGGCACTGTCTAATTTTTCAATTAATTTCTGCCAATATGCGCTGTAAAAAATAATAAATTTACAACAGTTGTTCAATTTATGCATATTTAATTGTCTAATTGTACATTTTTTCAGAACTAGTTTTCATTATGTAGCATTAACACTGCGTGATTGTTTGCATTAACATTGCAAAAATGTATTTGTGAACATTCATTCATTAGACACATGTACAGGCGAAGATGTATTATTCCAAAGTTTATGAATCTCGATACTTTTACAAAATATTCAATTAGATTAAGTTGATCGTAGCTTCATCTCGACACGTTTTAGTGAATACCTAAAAGATTCTTTCCAATGATACCATATTACACCTTTCCCATGTGGTGAACCCGACCCATGGTAGTAAAATCCGTTGAGATTTGAATAGTGACAGCCTAACAAATACCACCATGCACCTCTGTAATCCTTGGCGCAATTGCCATTGTACGGATCATTATCCCTGTCTACTGTAGAAAATGCCATTTTGTTATGACTGGAGAGAGAATCGCCAGCATTTCCACTGTACCCACTCACTTCAAGCCTATACTTATCAACTTCTCCATGAACTTTGAAATGACTGTATTTAGCATAAGCCTTATTACCTTCAAAGTCCTCTATATCTATACGTAACTCGTGGTTACCATGTTCTGTAAGGACATGTAAATTATCGTTTCCTAGCCAAAACTCGTACAATAAATCTCCAAATCCAGTTTTGTAGTTATCCCATGTGCGTTCAAAATCGACATTTCCATCTTCACGACGCTGAAAAACTATCCAACCTCCCCCATCGGTAGTTTGGTCACAATAAACTTTCAGACCATTATTGAGCTGATAAATACCACTAACGAACTGACGTAATAAATCTACGCATGATTCTATCCCGATAGCCTTATGATTCTTTGATACGTCTTTCAACAATTCTATTTCGTTCTTCATTTTCTTCAGTTGTGCATGCACAAATTCAGCATTTAAAGAGGTCATTTGCCCAAATTCAGCCTTTAAAGAGGCAATTTCATTTCTATATCCTTCTTTTATCGTATCACATGTGTCTGCCAATAAAGCTTGGCCATTTATCAGATTGTCTCTATTTTGATCAATTTCACTTTTTAACATTTTTGTCATTTCTTCAAATTTATTCTTGTGATCACTAAATACATTTTTTAAGGAACTTATCAACCTCTCAAGATCCTTTCGGTTCTTGTAGCTCAACAGTTTCTCTGCAGCCATTCCTTTAACCAGGTAACTAAGTGAGTGTCCATCTGTACTAACAATTGAATTTTTACAATTGTTTACATCCACGTTTGTACTTGTCGAAAGTAATGACATGTTCATTGCTCTGAATTTCTTGTCGAATTCAGAAAATTGAACAAAAATTTCATCGATTTCAAGACGTCTTAAATGATCCACCGTTTCCAGAGCAACCAATCTAGCTTCAAGACTATCAACTTTTTTTAAGGCATACTCAAAACTAAACAATGAACACTGTCTAATTAAAAGTAAGAACAAAGAAACTTTTACAAACGAAAGTGACATAGTTTTTCTTACTGATTAAACGAAAAATCGTCAAAAAGTCCGAATGGTTTATCTTATTCCTCACAATATGTTTTGCGTTTTATTTGTGAAAATAAATCTAGATGAAATAAATGTTTAACAGCAGTCTTTTCTCCTATTGCTTGTCTCAAACATTATATTAAGTAGATTTGTTTTGCTCATGCAAGGCCTATTTATTGGAACAATTGAAATAAAAGGCCAAATCTAAAATATCATTTTTTATTGAATGACATATTCGCAAAAGCACGGAAGAAAAAACTTTATTTGTATAGGCTTTTAATGAATTTCAAAATGTGTATTCCAGTTTTTTGACTTTGTATTTGTTCCAGCTTTGACATGCATATACAATGAAACAGTTTTTACTGAATTGAAAAACAGAAACATTATCAATTCGTCTTTTTTTGCAAAACGGTTTTCACATTGATTGACAAGTATCAGACAAATGCCATGTTATATATATTTGCAAACATTGCTGACATAATTCTTTCAATAACTGACTTAATTGAACAATAATAATAATAATAATAATAAGAAGAAGAAGAAGAAGAAGAAGAAGAAGAAGAAAAAAGAAGAAAAGCAGTATTATTTACTCACAACAGCTGACTAAAGAACCATTTTGCCTATTTTCTGAACGGAAATAGTTTTTTAAGGAACGCAATTGGCACAAAAGTCTTTAATTCTTAATCGAGGTATTCCATTTTTGTCCTATGTGTATATAAATACAATAAATGTAACTATATGTACATACATAAACGTGCCTGAAAAAAGGAAAGGTAGGACATCTAGCGCCTCTTTACCAAGTGTAACATGAAAAAAATGTTAAAAGAGGCCCGGCCTTATGTTTTACCCTCGTATTTCAAGCCGTCGAGTTGTTTACGAAAATTATGTAAGGTTTAAATGATGTAGTTCACAAGCTTTTGATTTCAAGTGGAATAAGAAACTCGACTTGAAGTTGCCGTATAATTAAGTAGATATATATGAATGTTTAAGTGAAGCCAGATGTTTGTTTCGGGATGTATTTTTTTTCTTCTTTTTTTAATAGGCATGTACTTAGCCTAGGATTCATGCGTTGATATTTTTTGCTTATTCATAACATAAGCGATATTTACGGGGGCACAAAGGTGACATGTGTGTTTTTATTTATCTCGTGGCCACGAGATACTATGTCGTGGCCACGAGTTACTAAGTCGTGGCCACGAGTACACGAGATACTATGTCGTGGCCACGAGTTACTAAGTCGTAGCCACGATATACTATGTCGTGGCCACGAGTTATTAAGTCGTGACCACGAGATAGCTATGTCGTGGCCACGAGATAATTAACCAATCAGAATACACTATATATATTATGATTTTTTTTAACTTAACAACTTACTTTTACATACAACATAACTGTAATCTTTGAAAATACTGAAAGATATTCACTTTGAAATTGTCTTTTGGATCATATTAGAAAGTCACCTTCCAAGGCCCATCAGACATTGATTTGACTATAGCTCTTTTGTTGGGACAATTTTGGGATCGAAATGGTCAGTTTGTACGTACTACGGCCTGTTTAACCTTGTTGTCATACGATACAAAATGAGAATGGAATAAGCTTCCTGGTTTATTTTATTTGGAAAGGGACATTGCCCATGGACAGTAGATAGCCTATAAGGTATAGTCCTTGTCTGATGAATAATTTAGAAGGAATAGGCCCTGGTTTTTATAACCCAGAAAGATCATTGCACCTGATCAGTAGATAACATCTAATAATTTCGAGGTCATTGGGTCAAAAATCAGGGTCACAGTGACGCTAAATGTTGAATTATTGACCAGTCAATAAGTAGTATAAATGGCACTTTTACAGGCATCGTCGGATACCCACGATTGATAAACATGTCACATAACATGCAATCATCGTCGGATACCCACGATTGATAAACATGTCACATAACATGCAATCAATGATAATGGTTCGGCCGTGGGTATCCGACGATGTTTTACAGGCTGTGAAATAGGGGAATCCTTTTACTATAGCACATGTCTAGTTAATTAGGGAAATTCATATAAATGGTGTAATCTGATTGGTTATAGTAACTCGTGGCCACGACTTAGCTATCTCGTGGCCACGACTTAGTAACTCGTGGTCACGACATAGTATCTCGTGGCCACGAGTTAGCTATCTCGTGGCCACGACTTAGTAACTCGTGGCCACGACTTAGTAACTCGTAGCCACTACTAAGTAACTCGTGGCCACGACTTAGTAACTCGTGGCCACGACTTAGTAACTCGTGGCCACTACTAAGTAACTCGTGGCCACGACTTAGTAACTCGTGGCCACGACATAGTATCTCGTGGCCACGACTTAGCTATCTCGTGGCCACGACTTAGTAACTCGTGGCCACGACATAGTATCTCGTGGCCACGAGTTAGCTATCTCATGGCCACGACTTAGTAACTCGTGGCCACGACATAGTATCTCGTGGCCACGAGATAAATAAAAACACCTTTGTGCCACCGTAGATATTACATACTCAATCGTGTTTTGATAATGTCGATTGCCGAACAGAAGCATAAAAATAGACAGACTGGAGCCCAGGCTGGCATGTACTTTATAGAATGTATCAAAACGTACACGCTACATTGCCCTTTCCCAATTTTTTACTGTAAAAGCGTAGGCCATAGAAAAAATCTGTTTGGTTTTAAAGAATTTGTTATATCAACAAGAGCGCAAACGCAATTTTAATATAAAAAACCTTTCCCAATAAACACCTGACGTTGTTTCAACGTTGCGTTGGATCAAAGTTGGATTTATGTCACGACGTCAAAATCCTAAATACAACGTTGAAACAACGTTGTATTTGCGATGTCGTATCAACGTGTTGGAATAACGTCGTTAGGACGTCGGATTTCAGTGTAATCCAACATAGTAGTCTTTATTGAGTTACTTACCTTTGTTCTGATATTTTTAAAGGTATATTAGTATTAAACTTACAGCATGCATAGTATTATAACTGAAAAAATATTAGTTACATTAGGAATATAATATTATTATATTTTCATGATATTCAATTATCTCATTTCTAAACCAGTTAATTAATGCAGTCTGATTCGCCCTCATTTAACTCGTACTTTTGGATTCAAATGATATATAAATTGTATGAAATTCTGTCAAACATTTTGTTTTATTTGTGTTGTCGTTTTAAGCCAAGATCCCTACATGACCTCAAAGTAGGGATTTATCAATACATAAGTATACTGTCAAAGTAAATTTCTAACTTTTTGTCAATAATCAGGGACCGTTAAAACAAAAAGTAACATAGTGTTATCTCTTTCAGATTTTTTTTATCTAAATCTGTCTTCTTTGTCCATTCTATAATGTATAAGATATCAATGATATGAATTCTGAAATCTAAAAACTCTAATCATGTCACCTGTTTGGAGATGGGGGTGTTGAAGCTAATCTCCCACACAAAACGGATCTAAAAACATCAACATTTTTGTTTACAGTTATTAAATGTGCACAGAAGTAAAATTTACAGTTTTCATGTAAAGGATTATCATGTTTCATTTGCAACCACAATCACAACTATGAACATTTTGCGAGTTAGACAGCTTGATGCAGATATAAATGTCAGTTTTTACCCGGATTAACTGGACACCGACCCCGCATCCACTTGGCCCCGAACCTTTTATGCGGGTGTGTGTGTTAATTTAAGTCCCCATATTTTAAAAATAAAAACGTTTCAAAAGTTTAAAATATTTACCAGCGTCTAAAAAAACCAAAAACTTTTCGTTTTTTTTCAGTGACAAGACATGTATTAAGTAATCTATTTCACATATAATAAATGACTTAAATGAAAAATTTATTTTTTGATGGCTCTTGAATCCAAATTTACAAATTATGTTGGATAACACATAGGAACTTGGAACAGGACCGCAATATTGCGGCGCAAAATCCGAATCCTACCGGTTTACATTTGTTAGTCCGACCCTTTGAAATATCTTTTCATGGTTTTGCCAGCGGGTGGTCTTTTAAATTATCTAACTCAATTAAATATAATCTGCCTTTAATTTTAAAAATCAGTCAAATTTACGATATATGAAGTATGTTTTTTTTATAAATACCGTAAAATATGACCAGTTTTAAAAAGAGACAGATTGGGTTTAATTGATAATATATTTTTTGAGTCCATACATTCGATAATACTTAAAAGATATTTAGATGTAGCAAAACGTTTTTAAAAAAACCGTTACAAGATCGAAAATTATACGCCGCAATCTGCGGTCCCGTTTTCTCGAGTTCCTATGGGATAACAGTATGTTTTCTCTTCTTTTCAACTAAGGAGGCTACTGTGTAGTTATCCATAACAAAGCGGCATTTTGTTGATGGCGGGGGGAATTTTAATACTTAATAAACTGTTAAATATCTAGCATTGTGATAAATTAGCAACACATTCATATTATACAGAGGTTTTTTTTACCGGAAAACGACAACTTATCTTTTTGAAAGCATAAAAAAGTTCATATACGCACTTGATTTAAAATGAAAAAAAATTTATTTCCACATAATTCAGTATCATCTGTAATAAAATGGAGTTGAGGATGTGTTTCTTTTTAAAAATATGCCTGTTCAAAAGAGTAATACATTTAGAATTATACACACAACAAAGTTTTTCTTTAAAGTCTAGCTGAAAAAATAGCAGAGATTGATGTTGAAAATGGCTTCACACAAAGAATTAATGAAGCGTGATCCTCACCTGAAATACGAAACTAACATTTGTTTCTTTGATCCTTCTAAACTTGCGTTCATTTGTCAATTTGATTATAATAATCATCAAACGCTACAGAAAATATATGTCCTACGCATGTAGTAAATTGATTTGAAATCAATTAACTTTTCAACATACACATGCATGTAGATTATATTATATCATGTGTAATAATTGTCAGGTTCTAATGAGAATCAATGCTTACGCGGGGACCAAACGATCACAAATTATAACTGGAATAAATTCTCAGAGCTCAGTAGATTTATATAAGTGTCACTATAAAAAGACAAGTACAAATGTTGCTGCAATGCAGCAATTCAGAAGCTTCGCGCAAAAAATGTGCTCATTACAGATGTTGTAATGCCGAAGATTTTCTAGCTATAGAGAACCTACTCTAGGAAATTACTTAATCAGTTTTCTGTTTGAAACTGTGAAAAATTAATTAAATGGTTTTATCTTGAGGTCTGATTAACAGCTGATTAGTAAACAAACAATGAAAAATTTAATAATAGACTTCCAGGATATGTAGTTGTAAGTAAGTAGGTTTTGACATCTAGAGTATTTTGAAGCTTTATTTCAATGGCAATCTGTTATAACACCAATATTTTAATCCCAAGTATGTGTTTTTTATATGAAGTTTCTTATATGAAAAGTTTGGAAGAAAAAAAAGTCATGAAAAAAAAACATTGTTCTTTCAAAGAATTCGATAAACAATATTTGTAGTGTAATATTTGTAAAAACAAATACTTGAAAATTCCCTGAAAAGAATTTACATGCAAATATGGGGCATAACAACTTCCCCTACTTTGAATACTTTGGTCCCCAAAGTTTGGAAGAAAACAAAATACAAACAAGAGCACCGCTAGGCGGAGCATTATATGCCCGAAAGTGTTTTTTTTCTTTACTAAGGATGAAGCATTTGTAAGACATTACATAAATTAAATAAAGCATTTCCTCCTTCAAATAGCAATCCTCCTATAAAGTTTGAATATTGTGGGCCAAATGGAACTTCAGTTATGCTCTGGAAACTGTTTTTAGTTTTGAGGTAATAGCTACCTTGAACTTTGACCGTGTGACCCCAAAATCAATAGGGGGGTCTTCTACCAAATATGGACAATCATCCTATGAAGTTTCAACACTATGGGCCAAATAGAAAGTAAGTTATGTTCTGGAAACTTTTTTTCAGTTTTAAAGTAATAGTGACCTTGACCTTTGACATTGTGACCCCAAAATCAATAGGGGTGTTCTACCCAATATGGACAATCATCCTCTGAAGTTTGAATATTGTGGGCCAAATAGACCTTAAGTTATGCTCTGGAAACTGTTTTCAGTTTTAAAGTAATAGTGACCTTGACCTTTGACCTTGTGACCCCAAAATCAATAGGGGTCTCCTACCCAATATGGACAATCATCCTATGAAGTTTGAACACTGTCAGCCAAATGGAACTTAAGTTACGTTCCGGAAACGGTTTTCAGTTTTAAGGTCATAGTGACCTTGACCTTTGACCTTGTGACCCCAAAATCAATAGGGGTCTTCTACCCAAAATGGACAATCATCCTATGAAGTTTGAACACTGTCGGCCAAATGGAACTTAAGTTATGCTCCGGAAACTGTTTTCAGTTTAAAGGTCACAGTGACCTTGACCTTTGACCGCGTGACCCCAAAATCAATAGGGGTCTTCTACTCAATATGGACAATCATCCTATGAAGTTTGAATGTTGTGGGCCAAATGGAACTTAAGTTATGCTCCGGAAACCAAATTGCTAACGGACGGACGGACAGACGGACGGACGGATAGACAGACGGACGGACGGACGGACGGACGCCAGGGGGTATAACATAATATGCCCGAAATTCTTTCGGGCATATAATAAATCATATGACATTCATGTATATACAACGTCTTAATAAACAAAGAAGGCAAATGAACATTTAACAAATTCATCTGTAGTGATAGGGTGTCATATTTATATGCCTAGCTCTTTAAAAAAAATTATGTTGATACAAAACAGAAAATGTGTTTTACATCAATTTTTTTTTTAGATTAGTGTAAAAATAAGAATTTTGTTTTTTATAAATTATAATTGTAACAAATATACAAATAGTAACAAAAGGGACTAATATTATAATATAGTAATATTACATGCATTTTTTCATGTCAAATTAAAAAAAATGGTTTCTTTCAATACTGAAAGTAGGACACACTCTGGAATGAAAAAAATGGGATGGATTTCAAAAAGACCAAATTCAGGATTGTTTTTGTTTGTTATGCACGCGTTACATGGTGATACAGTATTCATCAATATAATAGAAGACTGTTACCTGAATTTTAGGCAGGTGTGAGGAAATTCACTAACGATCATGTTCGTGCGAGTCAAAAATATAAAAGCTATTTGACATTGGTAATATATAAAAAAACTATTGATAATTGATTTATTGGGAGATCGATATACTTTTTTGCTGAATTGCTTTAAAACCATTCATAAAAAAAACATTACACTTCATGTTTAAACTGCAGATCAAAGTTTCTGTTTGCAATGATGCTATCTATCTATAGCCTAAATATATGCTTAATGATGGTCCATCCGCTCGTGTGACAACAAAATGCAGCTTTCGCTGTCGAGTACGTGTGGGATGCATTACCAATGACGCCAATGAAATGTAACCTTATATATAGTCTGAATTTATTGACTTGTCAATTATGAATACATTATAGCACTCATTTAAATATTCGATCCCACTTCGGTTGTGTCCGTTTAATTTACGAGAATTAATATGGAGCATATAAATAACGTTTGGATAACTCCCACTAGCTTTAAAAAGGTTCTCATAACATCCGTAATAGCGCAGTCGGTTAAGTGATTACCTAATGCATGAGTGGTCCGAGGTTCGATCCCTTCTTTCGACATTCTTTTGAGTGATTCTTTCTTTATTTTTAAGAATTTTTTTATTAAATGGTCAAGCGCCTGCAAAATTGTCTACACGAATATGAAACACCTAAGAAACACTGAATTGTCACATTTTGTCTTGTATTTTACGGTACTGAAATTGCATTTATTGATTTTAATCCGAACGAATTTCAGAAATTAATTCTATTTATAACAAACAGTTATAATATAACAATGGTATATACAAAAGTATAGTATTTTACAAAAAAAGAGCAAAACATATTAAAAAACGGAACAACCATAAATTCAAAAATGTTGACAAAGTTATGAATAAGAAAAAAACCTGGACATACTCTGTCTCGATCTTACAACACGTTGGACATTCAGATAAAATATACCCGTACCCTATTGCGCTATAACGGTCAGTGTAACTTATTCATCGAAACTAGATAAGTTTAATCACATCTTACTGCGTACATATCACGGAATTTACCAACATTTATCGAATATTAATATATTCTGTGCATTGACCATATAATCAGTATGTAATTGACAGGTTAATAAAATCAAACAATACTAAAGTTTAATTATTTCAAAACAACCAATATGTCAACATGTTATTATTAAACATTTAATTTCATAAATATAAATTAAGAATAATTATCAAAAGCAAAATTATTAAAGTCTTATGCCTAAAATCTTCATTATATTGACAAATTCAATCACTAATAGTATACTTGATGTGTAAATGTAATTCAAAATGTAACAAATTACAATTTCATGTACTACTAAAAAAGGGAAATAACAAATTTAAAACATAAGTGTCAAAAATCAGAACATTTATAGCTATTTATAGCTTTCGAATTCATGTACAGCAGAACTGCTTTCCGGTTCTCATTCATTAATATGACATGCTGCGAATCACCGAAGGGGAAACCAATATAGAAATCGAAAGGAGTTCTTGAATGCGGATTTATTTTTAGCTGTAAATCGAAGGGATTAATTGATCAAATCCGGGCCCATGGACATAAAAAAAATAGGACAAAAAAAATAGTAAACACAAATAGATCCGCGCCTGTGGGCGCGGAGCAATGATGGACTAAACAACAACAACTAGTAAATACAATTTCAATCAATACTTTTATTACATGAAAAGCCCTAACAAATTTAATAAGTATACTAATTAAATTATATATAGTTTTATATTACTTATTTAAAAATTTAATTAAGATTATGTTTATGATATATTTTATAAGAGGACGATTACAATAAACGTAAAAGCTTGTATTTAGGACTAAGTCAAGTTTAATGTTTCAAGGCTAAGCCTTGTAGTACTGACCAGAGTAGGTACAGTACCTAACCTAGCTAACATTGCCAAAGTCATTCAGTATTCACTGCAACAATTTGATTGGTTGAGAATAATATTGTATATATCATGCAAGTAAGAAAGATAGTTACTCATAACTTATAGATTAACTGTTAACTTAGATTACCGTAAACAACCCATCCTATTACACATGAAATAACTATATAATACGCGGGCAGTTATATTCTGTGGGCAAGCAATTCATATTTAATATATTTAACGTAACATTCAATCACAAACACTAAATCAATATGAATATCAATATTCAATAAATCATTCAAAAATTAAATTTGCTTTCCACATGCTTCTTGAATTCTTTTCACGGTTGCTGGGGAATCTAGTCTGAAGTATCCATTCTGTCCGATCTGTGTCCTAGCTGCGAGTACGGCCTCTTTGATTGCGGCAATTACAGAAAGTGACAAAAGAAGAGGTGGCTCTCCGACAGCCTAGAAATAAATTATAATCAAAATAAATGATCATACAGAAAATCTTAATTGTGTTTTTTGTTTGTTCTTTTTTTCTTCATATTAAAGACCCTGTATGTTGTAATTAAGGATGTAGCATACAGTACCGTTAAGTGAAGTTTTATATATGTACATATAATTATTCTTCAAACCCAAGAATATGCTAAATATGTAAAGAAAATCTTATATACATTATGATTAAACGTTAAAATTAATGCATTCATTTTTTATTGAAAAAAAAAAAAAAAACAACTGGCTTAGACTTTATCGAAAATAAATTTCTAATTACATCCCTTTATTTACATGAAATGTTGAATACGGTAATATTGATAAATCTTCATCTATGATATAAAACCATACAGAATTGCGTTACATGGTTTATTTGAAATTCTAAATATATAACAAGTAAAAATATGTGGACGTATATTGTATTTAAAACATATATTTGGTGTTTCAATGCATGAGCAGGCATCGTAGTACTGGATAGGTTCTTCCAGTAAAACAACCAAAGCCACTCACATCAATAGAACAGAAAAAGGCAAGTGATTTGATGCCAGCAACCCAGCAACATTAAATGCTCGGCAATTTGAAGTCTTGTTAAAAAAGTACCTTCGAGGAATTAAAGCAGGTACTGACATTATGATTGGTCAGTATGTTAACTGTCATTTTACGCGGTATGCTTGTGATGTTTGGAATCTTATAACTGATCGCATCGCAATTGTTCGTCCGTCCGTTCTTGTCTATCTCCATACTCTCTGACGTCACCATGCCAAGACCCTGTGCAATTTTACATATATAACCGATACATACAGTAAAACATAGACGTTTGCACAAGATTTTGCCGAAACTAAGTCTTTAAAATATCTCTAAAAAGGGGGTAAGAAAAATATATAATATCATGATAACACTAGCAGTCTCTGTCTATCTGAAAAACGGTATTTCATTCTGGGGTTTCAAGTAGTATCATATACTATCTTTAGATGACGGAACGTCGGTGGTTCTACTCAGGTGCCCGTTAGTGCCTGAAACAGTGCGAATAAGGGCACCTGAGGTCTTCCTCCACCAGTAAAGCTGGAACGACGCCATAATGACCTGTACTGTGTTGGTGTGGCGTAAAATCCAGTCAAACAAACAAACAAATATACCATCTTCTAAAATGAAAGTACGTGTTTTCACTGATTAACAAGAGCTGTCGGCAGGACAGCAACGCTCGACTATTCTTAGTGCTTGATAGTAAAAAAAATGCTTGATAGAGTTACCTCCTCCTGTTTACAGGTTGGGGTCATGATGGTGAACAAGTGTGCAAAGTTTCAAAGCCATATGTCAAAAGACTTTGAAAATATTTGAACTATTACAAAAACTTTAACGTAAATTCTAAGTCGAAAGGGGCATAATTCTGTCAAAATGCTTGATAGAGTTACCTCCACCTGTTTCCAGGTTGGGGTCATGATGTTGAACAAGTGTGCAAAGTTTCAAAGCCATATGTCAATGGACTTTGAAAATATTTGAACTATTACAAAAACTTTAATGTAAATTCTAAGTCGAAAAAGGGGCATAATTCTGTCAAAATGCTTGATAGAGTTACCTCCTCCTGTTTACAGGTTGGGGTCATGATGTTGAACAAGTGTGCAAAGTTTCAAAGCCATATGTCAATGGACTTTGAAAATATTTGAACTATTACAAAAACTTTAACGTAAATTCTAAGTCGAAAAAGGGGCATAATTCTGTCAAAATGCTTGATAGAGTTACCTCCTCCTGTCTACAGGTTTGGGTCATGATGGTGAACAAGTGTGCAAAGTTTCAAAGCCATATGTCTATGGACTTTGAAAATATTTGAACTATTACAAAAACTTTAACATAAGTGGTTACGCCGACGCCGACGCGGACGCCGACGCTCGGGTGACTGCAATAGCTCTACTTATTCTTATCGAATAGTCGAGCTAAAAATTAAAAAGACAAAATTTTCACAGTTATGATATGGTGTCCATCGTTGCATACTCAACCACTTGTATCTTTTTTATAATTTATCCAAATGCATCTGACAACGAACACTTCTCACATATCACAGTACCTTGTTTAGTTCATATAAACTTTATAAGTTTAAACATATTTTATTTCATATATAAATATACATGTACATCATTTTTCACATCAACATTTACACAATATACAAAAGGGATGGGCCAAATGTTTTTGCCACATTGTCGTATTCACTTTATTAAAATCTGTATAAAAACATAATAAAACATAGCGCCTTACTTGCACGAATGCGCCTTCAATTTGTCCAACGTCGAGCGCAGGATTCAAACTTTTCCCGATGTCCATATAAAGGTCTGCCTGCAATACCTAACATTACAAACAACAAAACTTGTAATCTTATTTGTGACAAATAAATTCATTTATTACAAAAAGTATTTACAATTGCTTAATATGTACAGTAATTAACCGGAAACTTATTCAGAATCTATGTAAATTTATATATTATGCTAATCTACTGAGAAACTAACAAACATTTTTCAATGTTATCAGCTCTTCAGAAAACCTTTGACAATAACTATTGTATGAAAATAAGGAAAACCCATACATTTTCAATGTTTTTCATATAGTTTGCTATAAATATGTTACATGTTTTATGCAATAAATATATTGTATTGAACTGAATTGTATACAATACAACTGATAAAAAACATCTTAATTTATGTCAACAAGATCAAGAAAATTACAATTCAACTTAAGCCAAAGCTAGTGCTTCATCAAGATACCTTTTATATATCTTTTTATGCTAAACATTATATGAAGAAAATGATGTATGTATCATAGATTTGATTTGCTAAACATTATGTACAGTACAACAAAATACTGAATTAAATTGGAAAAAAAAGTGAATTGACCTTTTTTGACACCAACAAATCTGCTTCTTAGATTTTTAAAAAGATAATTATAAAGTAAAAGATCTATTAAGCAACAAATGTTTAAATGCTACCAAGGGATCACAGATTTTCCGGATTTTTATACTTCACAAAAGCTGTGTGGCAAATGTAAAAATTCCCGTACTTCATTTAAATGTTGTTATATTTTTCTGGTTCTTCGGGATCATTTGTTTCAGCACTTTTTAAAGTGTTGAAAATTGAGTTCCGTTCAAGCCGGTGCTAGGGAGCATAAGAGATGTTGCACTTTTTCATTGTCCCATATGTACAGACTCAATCAAACCCAGTCTGTAATTTTCAAGTACTTTTGTTGTTATTAATGCTCACAGTTTTTTTTCTTCAGATTTTAAATAACTTCTTCATACATACTTGAGTTTCTCCGGTCAGAACATCTATCTCCACTTCAGAACAGGCCACTCCATATGTGAGATATTCTACCAACTCACCGCCTTTCTTTTTTGGATCTAATTGCTCATTCTTTACAGGTCTTATGGAACAAAATAGATAAACAGAAAAAATAATAACTATTTTCTATTCATTTTATTAATATTTTGTTTTGTGTTTTCTTTACAAAAAATTGTGTTTCTTTTCAGACCATAGCAATTCTTTTTACTGTATATCAGTTGTTTGAGCGTGAACATGTTGCTCATTTTTGAATAATTATTACTGATCAGTCTCATTTTTAAACGACATCTAGTTATCTACCCCTTTTTTAACCTGCTTGCTTATGCATCCTGATTTATACAAATTTGAATATTGTTACAGCAATCGTAACTTTTCGGCCCTTTCCATCAGTCTCCGAATAAGGACACTATTATCATAGATAATAGCCGAAGACGTTCGGACTGATGGTTACAGTTGTTTGTGGCCCTGAAACTGGTGAGTTTTCTATATGGCTTAATCTAATTTTTTCTCTTTGAGACAGGCCATTGTCAATTATAGAGATATAATTGTGATAATATAAATGTTTCAGTTCGTAGGGCTTCAAACACCAAACAGCTCTGATGTCGATAGACTGGACTGACTCTATGCTGGTAGTATCGATTTTGCAATATATGCTATAGGAGTGAAAAAAGTAAATTGGTATGAACCAATCCAGGAATAAGTCATTTAATGCTTATTTCAATGTAATTATTTATTAACCTATTGAATCCCGTGGCTGACAGCTGTATTCGTTTAAAATATGCGGCAGATATCTGAAAGTAAAATAAAGTACAATTCATCTATAAGAAAGACATTGCACAATTTTGTTTTATTATACATGTAGTAAAAAGAAAATTATATATCATTCATTGGATTTGTTTTACTGTCCTATCAGGACTAATATAATACTTTCTCGTTTCCATACAAACATGATGAAACAATTCTGGAAGTTATGTTGCAGTACAAATACTATAGATTAGTTAGTCAAGAGGTAAAAACATTTCTAAAATACAGGAAATTATTTATTTTAATTGAATAATGCTCTTTTCAGCGCAACTAATTTAAAAAAGAATGTACATGTAATCTAAAAGATAAAAAAAGGTCATAACTTACAAGCTCCTCCCATGAACACCCTGGCATCTCATTTTTCAGTGGTGATAGTCTTTTGTTGAGAATCTCACAGGCATTCTGTAATTAATTGATTTAAAGTGTAGTTTGAAAATTCAAAATGCAGCATGTCATCATGGTTTTCTCGTGTTTTTTTCCCAAATAATTATGGTTATGATAGTATTTTATTAACTTCTTCATAACACTTACAATATCTATTTTCAACAGAAGTTTCATTGTTAAAGTATTTTATAAAATTGAGAACTAACATTTTCTATGCTGATGTCATTACTGATCACAATGTTTATTTACAATTTATTGTTTGTTCACCATCACCATCATCATCATCATCATCATCAAATTCCATCTTTATCAAATTTTCATCATCAAAATGATAAATTATAAGTTTCATCATCATCATCATCTGTATCATCCCCAAAATCATCACAAAGATCATCATCATCAACATCGTCATATTTTTCATTATCAAAATTATCAATTTTTAGTTTCATCATTATTATTCCTATTATTAGTTTTATAAAAAATAATGTTTATTAAGTAATATTTACATGGACTGCAGGTCCAAACAAGTCCATTCCCAAGCTTGCCCCTGTTTGTATAGGATTCGGAATTATTGCCGTATTGCTTTCTATTGTGTGAATCTTTTTCATCGGAATTCCAAGTACACTCGAAGCAACCTATAAACATAAACATGGACGCATTTCAGTTGACCATGTGCAATTAACATTGCATTAAATTTATCACAATAAAAAGATTACACCAATTAGGTTCATTATATGACATTCTACATGTCACACATCATCTCCCCTAAATAGTGAACAGTTCTGAACCGTGACAAAATGTTAAACACATAGCTACGACTACGGCATTTTAATGAACTGAATTTATATTGCAAAAATGTAAAAGACATACCTGAATAAGTTTCGTATTTAAGCCTTGTCCCATTTCAACACCGCCGTGTGTTAACAACACTGATCCGTCAGTATAAATATTGACTAACGCAGCACCCTATAATGTGAAATTCAATGATATTAAAGGAAATGAACAGGCCGGGGTTTACATGGGCCTGGAAATACCTTTTTTCGAGAATTTATACCATTTAATGAAGGTCATGCGATCATTCGCTTACACTGATTTTTTCGGAATACTTGATTTTATTGCGCTGAGTCAAATTGTTCTAATAATCAAGATAAATATCGATGTTAAATTTGACTGCGAGTATTATCTATGGAGGCGTGCATATTTCTGCCACCAGATAACCTGATAACTAACTACTAATTAAGAGGTTAACTAGTTACGTAACTAGTTAACATCTTAATAAACTAGTTAGTTATCAGGTTAACTAGTTACGTAACTAGTTAATCTCTTAATTAACTAGTTAGTTATCAGGTTAACTAGTTACGTTACTAGTTAACCTCTTAATTAACTAGTTAGTTTTCAGGTTAACTAGTTACGTAACTAGTTAACTTCTTAATTAACTAGTAAGTTATCAGGTTAACTAGTTATGTAACAAGTTAACCTCTTAATTAACTAGTTAGTTATCAGGTTATCTGGTGGCAGAAATATGCCACCATAATTATCTTATATTAATCCCGTTTTAATGTATTCAAGTTAATCTATGTATGATTTTTCATTTTCTATGGGTCTTTTTTAGGCATTTTGGACCCTCGATCATTACCATGCTGGCACCGGAAGTGCTAAGCCTGTGCCAACAGTATAGACCCCGAGCAGTCTGCACATCCATGCAGTTAACACAGGTTCTGTAATATTTGTATTTTAATAATGAAACCCCTTAAAATTTGAATAAAACTTGCAAAATTCAAATCTTGGTAAATTAACTGCACCAATGCAGCATAGGTCAAAATGACAAATATTTTGCTTTGAAATGTCATGAATGTGGAGTATTTATTAGCATCTAGACTCGCTCTTTTAATTACCTCAGTTCTGTGTTAATGGGGCTTGTCATTTGTTCAAATTAATATAATGTATAAAGTTGAAAATTAAAGCGCGGATAAAAAATGTGATCATTTAAGGTAACGTAATATTACTATCAGACGTTTTCATTGGAAGAGGCAAACCTGGTAAATAAATGTAACACGCATTCCTATTGGATATTTACTCGCTGTCATGGAGATACCTCTTTTCTTCCACCTGTTTTCTCTGAAATACACAAATTAAACCTCAATATATCACTATGTTCAAAAACAAGTTCAGTGTAACATAATTCATTTCTAAACACAAAATAGATAAGACTTGATTATAGACAATGAGAAATTGTTAAGGTTGGGAGTCAAAGTATTAAATCTTCAGCTAATCCATTTTGTAAGCCTATCAAATATTTAAAAAAATGTTGTTTTTCATTTTTTTCCATTTAACATACAACAATAGATCGTCTCCCTTGAACAAGATTTAATGTTTAAGTCTCCAGCCGCTGCTTCTGTTACAATTTTTAAAACAATTTCTTATAGAGCTGAACTACCTTTTGCTTTAGGACATTAAAAATTAACAGTGATTTAAATTCCAGTTTAATGTTGCTACCTGTTTGACAAATTATTACACATTCATTGATTCTCTCATAACATGTTTGGCATCTCGCATACTCTGAATCCATTGTTAAATATAAAACATACATTTCACAATTATAGCAAAATATACGCGTATCGTAAAAGCAGCGAATCAATGGCAAGCTATATTATATTTCGCGTTCTGCACCAATGTCAGACTGTTTCTGTAATAAACGCCCGTCTTAAAATGCTTACTTGTTATATTGTTGAATACATTTCAATCTTTCTTCATATTTACTCTCTTGCTGGCATTTTCTCCACATCTCTTCTAATGTACAGTTCTTGAGGACCATTCCGAATGTTGTAACATCTCCCGTTTTGTACAGATTAACTTCCCGAACCTGTGGAAAACATTTGGCTAACATATTTTATATTAGGTTTAGTTGCTTATTACAATAAATTTCTTTTTATCGCTATATGTGGTGTGTTTATTTTTTATTTATGCTCCCCGAAAAATTTCGGGGGAGCATATAGTCGCCGCCTTGTCCGTCCGTCCGTCCGTCTTTCCGTCCGTCCGTCCGTCCCCTTTTCTTGTCCGGGACATAACTTTGAAACAACAAGAGGTATCAACATGAAACTTTGTAGGTAGATAGATCTCATTAAGTAGGTGTGCAGTGCACAAAACCGTAACTCTGCCTTGCCTAATTTTGAATTATCCCCCTTTGTTTATTTTTACACTTTGAACTTTGTTCCGTTGACATAACTCTAAAAGTATAAGAGTATTCAACATGAAACTTTGTAGTAGATAGATCTCATTGAGTAGTGTGCAAGTGCACCAAGAACCGTAACTCTGCCTTGCCTAATTTTTGAATTATCCCCTTTGTTTATTTTACACATTTGAAATTTGTCCGGACATAAACTCTAAAAAGTATAAGAGGTATCAACATGAAACTTTGTAGCGTATGATAGATCTCACTGAAGTAGGTTGCAGTGCACAAGAACCGTAACTCTGCCTTGGCTAATTTTGAATATCCCCCCTTGCTTTATTTTACACTTTGAACTTTGTCCGGGACATAACTCTAAAAAGTATAAAGAGTAATCAACATGAAACTTTGTAGGTAGATAGGATCTCATTGAGTAGGTGTGCAGTGCACAAGAACCGTAAACTCCACTTGCCTAATTTTTTGAATTATCCCCCTTTGTTTTTTACACGTTTAACTTTTCCGGACATATTTCTAATTATAAGAAGATATCAACATGAAACTTTGTAGGTAGATAGATCTCATTGATCTAAGTTTGCAAGTGCACAAGAAAACTGTAACACTGTCTTTGCCTACTTTTGGAGTTATTCCCTTTGTTCATTTTTGACACTTTGAACTTTGTCTGGGACATTACTCTAAAATTATAAAGATATCAACATTAAACTTTGTAAGATAGATATGTCTCATTGGTGGAAGTGCAGTGGCTAAGATATCATACTCTTCCTTGCCTTATTTTGAAGTAATTGCCCTTGTTTATTTTTACTTTTGACTTTTACCTGGAACATTTACTTAAAACATAAAGATAATCAACACGAAACTTTGTAGGTAGCATTGGATAGAACTCAACGTTCAAGAACCTAAACAAAACCTGGTCTAATTTTGGAGTTATTGCCCTTTGTTCATTTTTTTATATACTTTCCTGTGTCCAGAACCTTCTCGGGGAGCATCACCCGGTTCAACCGGTTCTTGTTTATTTTGATATTCCTAGATTATGTGTTCATAAACGTTAAGAATACTAAACACAATTTTATATCAGTGTATCCATTCAAGAAGACGCACGCCGTCCCCCCCTCCTTCATGAATCATGAAACGTACCTAAATAAACTCATATACCTTCCCTTATTAGCTAGTCTTTTGCTAGTGATATGCTATTCAAGTATGGTGAGAGGGAGAGGTATGTAATTCGATGTTTGAAATCCGAGCAGTAAACCTAAAGTTCACACTCAGTCTGCTAAAATATGTTTAAAGGATTACCAATACTTTGACCTTGGAGCATTCTTTTTGGATTTGAAGGAATGTCAACAATAGGTGAGATATAAAAGTGAGACATGTATCCACAATAAAGAGTCTGCCTCACTCTATATACTGATGTAAAACGTTAACCTTTTTCCAAAGGTCGAGAGCGTCTTTTTTATTATTTTAAAGATATTTACTTTATCAGATGAAATGTTGAGACGGTTCGCCACTTGGAATATGATATCTTCCATGATAAGTGCACCCTGTGGATGTCCTGTAGCTCTGAAGGCGGTGTTGGAGGGGACATTTGTTTTACAGACATATCCCTGAACTCGTATATCCTTCACCTTGTATCCGGATTCAAATACAGTTGTGGTGAATTCCATGATCTAGTAAAATTTCAATGTGGAAATTATTTCTTGTAATATCATTATCTGAATTATAGCTATTTCCTCTAAATACGATAACCAATAATAAAACTGCATAGTGCTAGTGAGCATTTTCAGCTTTACAATCAACTACACTCTAACGAACATTTTTATGCGCCGAAAGATGCTTATGCATAAGAAATTCCAACCGTGACTGGAATACAAACTGACATGCGTGATTAAAAAATGCCGAAATACTTTAAGAATTGTTTTAAGATGGTATTATTATAAGCGTGCACATGTATCATCAGACAATATAAAATCCATATTCATCTGAGTTATTTATAATATATATACGCGAAGATGATGATTATTCAATAGGAAGAGTTCTATTCACGAGAACTTTACATCGAATAAATAATTTCAATTCATTATATCAAAAACTTTTTCACAGATTTCCAAGATTTCTATCAAAAAGAATTACCAGGACAGAGTAGTCATTAGAATGCCCAGCATTCATGTATAGTTTTAAGTCTATTGCCAATATTTTACCATCTCCGTCAAAGCCAACCTAAAAGATAACATGATACTTAATTAACTAAAAACGTAAAAGCGTATAGAGTTCAAAGAAAAAAAATAACAATATGAAATCATAATGTAAAGTGATCAAAACATAAACAATTCAATTTCAATGTTTATTTGGCTTTAATATGTATACAATGTTTATCGCCAATACACATAGTATTATGGCGGCACGAGACATAACAATACATATTTTGAACATGAGAAAAGCATGATAAACAGACAACTGATTTGTTTCCGCAAAACTGTTCTAAACTCATTCCCAAAGAAAAAGCTTCTTACTTTCTATATCATCATCAAGTATTTAATTTTAATACATTATAAATTCACTATAATCATATTTCCATCTCAACAGTCATTTGTCGACTATTCTTCAGGAAGAGCAGAGGTGTATCGCTCTCAATAAGAGGATTGAAATTTAATGTGGTCACGATCATGTTTCCTCAAATGACACAAGTACTAGTAAGTTCCAGGAATCAGAATCAACAGTGGCAGTTCAAAAAGCATTCTTTACAACTGACCTCAAAAACATATGTATTACATGTACTATATTTATACAGATCGTTTGTACCATGCATGTATGCCTGTGTCTGTCTGTCTGTCTGTCTGATGTATAAGAAAATATTACCTTATATTTGGCAAGAAAGGGATGCCTCTTTCCTTTCACTAGCATATCCGTTTTCCGGGGTAGCGTGCAACGGACTGGTTTTTTAGTTCTACAATAAATAATGTAAGTTGTAACATTTGCATCTTCAAGTAAAAATAACATTGCAATTATCCAAGGATGATTGTATACAGAGTAAAAACTGAAAGACTACAAAAAACTAAAAACTACAGAGTAAAAGTTGCAGGTTTTTCTAACAAAACATTGGCATCAAACACATACACTTGTCATTCTTACTTATTAAACTGATAAAAAAAATCAACAAAAGGTTGAAATTAATTTGCGATGTAAAATCAGTTATTTCATTAAACCATTGATTGGCCAGGTCAGGTACTTTCTAAAATACCAAACGTGATCAGAGGTTTAATGAAATGACTAAACTATCAAGTTATTTCATACAATATCTCATTTTCACAACTCAATTTTGAAAATTTTACTTAACGCTTGCCATTGAAAAAATGCTTTAAAACGATTTACTAAACACCTTTCATTGAAATATTTGGCTTTAAAAGCATGATCATATTTCTTGATCTAGTTTTCACTCAGTAAACCCCTATGGAGTGAACTAACATCTGTAATTATGAAATTTAAAGTAAAAATCCGGATTCAAATTCAAATGAATAAATCAGTCGTATTTTTATAACGCATTAAGACTTAGAAAGTCTTGTTATGCAAAGTACAAAGACCACAAACAAGGATATAAAGATATGGATTAAATAAATGCAAAAGAGCAAGGAAAGTCTTTCAAGTTACTTGATGGTTAATCAACTTCATGTAATACTACAATTACTTTTTTGGATGACAAAAAAATTTTAGTATCGAAGCAATTGCATCTTTTAGCTTGACAACGCTTTGGAACGCTGCAATTACATTAAGTGAAAAATTCCCCTCGGTGTGTGATGCACTGCTAACCGCCTCACACAAATACTAAATTGTCTTTATTAAAATCACTATACTGAAGTAGCCTTTGAATGGGCAAAAATCAAATTGATTTCTCGAAAACCTGCTCTGAGCACCTGATTTTTTGCTAACATCAAGAAAGAATTTCAATTTGAAAAGTAAAAAAGGCATCTTACTTATATGCGGCCACGGCTGCTGGGCCAGCAACGTTCATTGCCTGTGCGTCTTTACCACCAAAACTACCACCTGGATAAATATCAATGAGTCTTATAAAGAGCAAACGAATTTTAAACACTGGCTTTGTGGGTTCTAGCTATACTCTTGACACAACATGAGTAAGAAACTGATTGGAAAATGACTAATTGAAGTTGAAAGATTTTAATTCGTAATGACATTTATAGACACTTTAACACTCACAACAAAACCTGTGTTTATTTTCACAATATCTGTTTCTTTGCAAAAAATTTAAGCTAACAGTTCGAAGGCAAATATAAATGAAAAATTCATTAGCGTTCGAAGTTTGTTTGTTTGTTTGTTTGTTTCATTTTACGCCTTTTTCCAACAGTATTTCAGTCATATAGGCGGAGCGTTCGAAGTGTGGTAACATTAATACATGAATGAATAATTATACTTGTATTTTAATTACTTGTATACGGAAGCCCGTTGAGGCCGTTTTGAGATAGAAGTTAGAAGTTAGATGTTAGATCTTAGAGCATATATCTTAGAACTTAGGTCTTAGCTCTTAGAACTTAGAGGTTCCAAATTGGCGGGAACACGCCATATTTACTGCAAAATGGACAAGAAGATGTAAGTGAGATTAGCTCTTTAATTTTTTTTTAATTTAAAGAATTGCAGAGTTATAGCTAGAACGTTATATATTAAAAGAATTAAGTGATTATTATATTATAAATAAGAACCGGGTAAAAAAAGAAATCAATTTCAATGGGAGCAAAGGTCGACGAAGCTATCTTCAACAGGCTGGTACAAACTCCATAAGTGGATATTTAGCCAATTCTAGTTATTTTAGCCGAACCTGGCTACCAAAAAATCTACGATGAGGGCACATGCGATGAACTTGTTTGCCTATATTTATGTAATTATCAATTATAAAATTTAAAAACATTATTTAAATTGTGTATCTGTTAGTTTTATGATAATTAAAAAATGTCGGTTTCTCTAATGTGTATTAAAATAATTTGATTATTTATCCTATTCAGAATCTTCTTCATCCCTTTTCCGACGATGAAAAAAATGGTTTCTAAATTTAGTATTTAGTTTGGAGATTTGGCTGTTTATTACACCAGTAACAAAGTGTTGTAATCACATATTAGCTGTCATTACCAAGGGGGCGCATTTAACAAGACTAGAAACCGATCAACTTTGTGTGGCATGCAAATGGTTATGAACAAAGTTAAATCATGTTGATTTTTGCATCCTCGGAGCGATCTGTACAGTCGACTCATTTATGGCTCAAACAGTATCAAACAGCGACAAACTCACCGGCAGTGAAAACGTCATACTACCCAGACACATTAGAGAACTGAAAATTCTCAAATATAACGGCACAGAAAGCGTAACATGGTTGAAAAAGTTTCGATTAGAATGGATTAGATCCAAGCAGAACTATACATGTAAAGATAAATCCAAAGAGTTTTTGAAATACCTTTCGGAAGACCTGATACAATGTATTTTGTACCTGGAATCTTATGGTGGGCATAACTGTGGTCATCGTGTTGAACAAGAAGACATACAGGATGTGCCAGAACGCTGTGGATCACTTACACGGCCTCATTAAAACGAAACCGAGAAACTTGTTCGAGTGGTGTCGTCGAATAACAGAAAGCCTTTGAAGCCATTAAACGAATCGTTTAACATTGTACCTTGAATTTTTTACAGATGACTGTGGAGCATTTACAATGACTTACAATGAACATGTAATTGGGTTTCGTGTTTGCATTCATAAATATTAATAAGAAATCATATTATTTATTAATTATTATATTAATATATCATTGATTATATATTATATTCTAACATAGATTTATGTGATTTTAGACCCCCAATATTATCCTTTTGGGTTAATGATGCCTGGATCTTTTTGAAAAACATATTGAACTGTTTCAAGATTACTGTTTATGTGGAACGCCTGGTGTAGTCAGAGCTTCAATAAATGGTCCGATCAAATTGTGTGTCTATTCTACATTTAAAATTTCATTTATGTTCACTTTTTATTAGCTGTGAATTCTTCCGTGTTTCCATTTCTACAAGTCAAGATCACAGTGGCTACTCAAATAAAAGATAAACCATTGCCTTAATCTTAACGAAGTGCACTTCTGTATTAATATTTGATGACATTATCAGTGTTTTAATACTGATTTGGGTTACCATGATACATATGTATATTAAAAGTATTGAAATAAAATGCCATTTGCTACAATTTCCTAAGGTGACAAAAGTGCATTATTCTGCACAAATGATTGATGGCGTGACTTGTTCTTTGGCTTCAAATCGGCCTGCAGTATATTCACATGGAGATTTCATTACTGAATAGAAACAAACAAACAATATAATCTAAGTTTTATGGTTGTCAAATTGCAGGGTACCGAATGATGGCTTATCAAGCAATTGTTGTATAAACTTGCCTAAAGCTATAATACTAGATATAAAGCGTGCTAAAAATAATGAAAGAATCCATAGCGATTTTATAAAAACCTCATGGCAATTATTGTGGCTATTAGTTGCATGTTGCCTTAAATTGAGTGATGAGGCAAAACAGTTTGCAAACGTATTCTTTGGTTTATTACTGCAGTACGTTTATTGATTTTGTGCGTGCGTGTGTGTGTGTCGGCCTTTTTGTTCAAAAGAAGTCAGCATCAGAAAAACCATTTCAACTGATTTTCACACGATACATCTGCACTTGCGCATGCCTTTTTAGACTAGTTATGACGGGGCCAACAGTTATAACAATGCGGTACAGACAAAATCGAGTTATAACAAAGCTGAGACACTGTCTCCGATCGATCGAAATATAAGGCTTCAAACAGGTGGTCCAGAGGGGACCGTGGCAGTGAAGACCTACAAAGTAGCCTAAACATGTCCAACTATCTTAGAACTTAGACATTAGAAATTATTCTTAGAACTTAGACATTAAACTTAGACATTAGAAATTAGTTCTTAGAACTAAGACATTAGAACTTAGACATTAGAAATTAGTTCTTAGAACTTAGACATTAGAACTTAGACATTAGAACTTAGTTCTTAGAACTTAGTTATTAGAACTAAGACATTACAACTTAGTTATTAAATTTAAAAAAATCTGTTCTGAAAGAGGTAAAAGAAGGATACATAACTCCGTTATCATACATAAAACTTTATTCATGTAACAGTAATCATACATAAAACTTAATTCAAGTAACAATAAACTACAAAACATGAAACAAGGCACTTATCTCATTTATCACAAAAAAGAATATCACAGTCTCGACAAGCACATATCAATAGCGTGCAAACTTCAGAAACCATTAATACTTCAGCTCTGTCACAACAATTTTTTTTGTAAAGATCAATGATATCTGTAGGTCTACATCAAATATTCGTAAAAAAATCGAATGGACAAAATACTTATTTTTTAACGTTTTGTTAATAGTTTAAAAAATAAAGCGTTTCTTAATCCGTCAGTTATATTCAAAACATATATGCACATGAACTTGAAATTAAACCAGAACGATGAACTAAGAACTTAGATATACAGTTTTGTAAAATGCCTAATTAGTTAAATGTGTCAAGGCAATATGGTGTTATCAATGCGGGCGAGTTATTGCTGTTTGTTACTTCGAGACATAAAATGTGCCGACTGTACCCGTCGATCGCTTCGTGGATGCAGAATCCACACAGCTTTAACTTATCGTAACCATTTACATGCCACACAAAGTAAAGACCTTTTGAGACATATCTTCGCCGAGATGATCGGGGCTTTGCGGCTATTAGTTCATTTGGGATCGCTTTGTAGCAATAGCCTCATCACAGAATCTCTACACATTGCAAAACCGGTAGTCTGTCAGCAGTTTGTGCTACATCGATATATACCTACACACTGGTACTCCTCTGGATTACTACAATAATGGGGTCCCTTCCATCGTTCTTTGTGTAATTGTTTTGCGTTGGATAATTTTGTTTACTTTCAGTATTAGTTTAATATTATTGTAAAATAAACTATGATAAGTAGTTCTTAATCAGTTCTATGCTGTTAATGCGCCCCATCTGAGAATGACAGCTAAATCCATGATCACAACACTACATACTGTTTATAACAGCCAATTCCAAACATCCATGCCCATGTAGAAACAATTTCGTCGTCCGGAAAAAGGAATATCTGCAATAGGGAAAAATAATCAAATTATTTTAATACACATTAGAAAAACAGACATTTTTTAATTATTATAAAACTATTAATACACAATTTAAATAGCGTTTCACATTGTGATAGTTGGGGAATTACATAAATACAGGCAACAGATATATCAGTTTTCAAAGCTTGTGTCCGCCATCGAAGATTTTTTGGTAGCCAGGTTCGCTTAGAATAGCTAAAACTGACTAAAAATAGTTACTTATGGAGTTAATTGCCCTTGCTTGTTGTAGATAGCTTGTTCGACTTTGTCTCCCATTGAAATTGTTTGTTTTTTTATTATAATATATCATCATTTAATCTTTAACGTTCTAGCTATTTCTCTGCAATTCTCTAAATAAAAAAAGAATTAAAGAATTATAATAAAAAGTTTATCTTACTTACATCTTCTTGTCTATCTTGCAGTAAATATGGCGTTTTCCCGCCTTTATGGAACCTCTAAGTTTTAAGAGCTCAGACCTAAGTTCTAAGATCTAAGTTCTAAGATCTAACATCTAAGTTCTAACTTCTATCTCAAAACGGCCTCAATGGGCTTCCGTACTTGTATGTACATGTATAGGAGAGCATAGAGGGATCATAGAGAAGTTACAGGTGGACTTCATTAGCTGAATGTGATCAAAGGTGTCAAAATAGTTCACGTTATTTCGTAGCTGTGTTTATTTGTATATAACCCCATGAACTATAATTTAACTAACCAAGTCTTTTCACTCTGCACGTTATTTTGTGTAGAGGAATATCAAGTACTTTTGAAACACCAACTTGAAGAGCTTGGAGTCCATGACAAGTGACATTTATTTCCATCTCCTGGCTTTCTCTTGGTACTGCAAGAGCGGCTTGGGGTTCCATATAGAAATGCTCCTACAAAAATATTACTTCTGGTGTAACGTGACACTCAGTACTTATATCACCCGTCAGACAATTTTCTGTCATAATAGGTTAAGCAGGAACAATGAAAAATAGTTAGAAAACATTTTATAATGAATACGCATGTATTCGGTATCAGTTATATTGAAATTTTGTTCTGCATCATCTAATTTCGTGTTATCGTCCCGAGTTAGGTTTGTGTCTTTAACAGCGTCACGACAGTTGTATTATCTTATTTATAGTCGATATTGTACGAATTTTGTTTGTAAGACTTAAAAAAAATTCAACATGAATTGGAGAAAAAAATTGTTCAGGAAGTGGTTTATAAAAGTTGTAGACCCAAACAAAGTTGATACTAAATAAGTCTTTGGACATCTTGATAAGACATTCTTTTCTACGAAAAAAATCATAGAACCATAAAAAGGTACTGTTTCCTAAACACTTACCTGAATACCGGTTCTATATTCTCCTTCAATTACATGGTGAGATTTACCCATACCACGATTTACATCACCATCTATGAATGGATCAATTTCGCCGTAATATGAATTCTCCTTTATGGCATCCTACAATTGAATACTTGAGTTTATTCAATAATATAACGTATCTGTTTTCATCAAAGTTGTGAAAAACTCATTTCCTTCATGAAATGTAAAACATAATCACCGAGAAAAGAACTGCACGCAAATTTCAAAAGAAAATAAGTCAGTATCATGCAAGTTGAAGAAAATATTGAGGATCTGCAAGTTCCTTATATTCATTTTTTATATAATTAGCTTCCTTTATTAAATTTCCTAGCATTTTCACTGTTTTAACTATATGGTGTATATCACGAAGACAGTATAAGCGAGTTTGATTTTAAGAAGACTTTTTTAATAAAGAAACCTCAATTGTAAGAATTGGCGTCAATTCTTCGTATTCAATTGAAACCATATCCGCAGCTCTTTGTGCAGTTTCACGATCTTCGGCAATAATCCCACCAATAATTTGACCAAAACATATAACCTGTAAAAATATCGCATAGTCAGTGAACAATGTCTTAAAATCATCAATATTATTCTACTCATCATTATCATCATCATCATCAGCAGCAGCATCATCATCGTCATCATCATCATAATCATCATCATCATGAGAAGCATATATAACGAGCGTCACAATTATTTTCAGTTTACTTTGAAAATATCTTTTGTCATTTGACGCCAAGCCAATTATACGAATAAGCTGGGGACTATGGTTAATGAATTCATACTTTATCAAAAACTACTAATCAAAATATCCAGGCATACATAGGCATTTAATCATCTTAAAATTCACCAGTTTGAGCAAAATTAAACCAAATATTGCTATTTTATAAATACATGTAGTTTTTCAGCATTTTCAAAACTAAACAGATTTGTTTTTCCTAAACATATTTCAAAACGATGATATTTAGATCATAAGCTTTAAAAAAAAAGTTGTCTGAAACGCAACACCTCTCCAGATGAGAATAACTCTTGGTCCTGTACCACGGATCCCCATGTTTTCTGACCAGGAATGTCATTGTGATCTATAAAGTCTTTCACGCCGGGTATTGATAACGCCTTACTAGTATCCACTTTTCTAATTTTAGCATGAGCTTTGCTACTTAATACTAGTGCCAGAAATAGCTCGTCTGAAATATAAACTATGTTATATCAGATACTTATTATCATAGATTTGATCAGAAAAGAAGTCTTGTTTGTAACTCTCTAATCGAATGTTTTAATTTATGACGTGTATCTTTTTATTACATGCATACGCTTAAATATTTTTGTTAAACACTGAAATTTAAAGGACCTTGATCATTTATTTGGCAATATTGTTATAGTACTAAGGGTTACATGGAGATATATCGTACAGGTATTTTTAAAAAGCCCATGGCTGACGTAATTCTAACTCGTGCATTCTCCTTGTTACTTTCTTTGATTGTTTATTTTTCAGCAACATTTTTCTACAAAAGTTTTACCTTGTAATTTAGGTATATCGTCTACGTAAGTTGCTTCCCCTGAAACAGCTGGTTCTGAATGAATATTCGGAACAGTTCGACCAAGAGCATTGTCTTCAGATTGACCGGTATCAGTGCAATCACCAAACACCTGCCTGCTGTGATAAGGTGGCAGTGACACTGGATCTGTCAAACTTGAATCAGCTTTACAGAGCTATTTCAATATAAATACGAATTAAATATCTTTATATCTTTGTGTTCTTGTCATTAACTTGTAAATAAATAAGTTTTTGTGTGAAACACACTCAGTATTTATCTGTTACAAGAGTGTGTTCATGTCATGTAAGAGTAACACAATGGTAGTCTTTACAAAATGCATGATGTGACATTTGCGGTTTCATAGCGATGCTACAACGATGGCGCTTAACATGCGATATTCCTTATTCTCTTAAACAATTACATGATAATAATTATGTATTTATTCGTATTTTATCTTCTTCGTAAACGCTAAAAAGATCGATCGCGTTTTTAAAAATTATTTAAATCTAATAATACTGTATTGTAATTTCTTTAAAATGGGTAGCAGTCTTTCACAAATGCTGAATGATAGTATACGTACCTGTAATTCACGCATACTTGTGAAAATTTAAACCAAACAGGGCTGTAGCAACTGACACTTATAACTAAATCCTTTTCTCATTGATTTCCCAATGTCTACAGATAAAAACCTAACAACATCATTCGTTATAAACTTTGTCCCAAGACTCTGATAAAGAAAATCATTAATCATCAACAAAAGTACCATTTAAAATCATATCTACAGTACACCTATTATGTTGATAAGACTTGAGTATACAGTCAAACTTGGAATAAAGACCATCCAAAAGAGAGACCAACATGGTCTTGACCGAGTGTCTTTATTCAGAGACTAATCAAATCATTTATCAATGAAGTTGTGAACGTGTTCTTATCAACAAGTTCTTTATTCGAGGATTGTCTTTATATATTTTTGGCCTTAATTATATATTCAATCTTCTTTTTAAAATAATAATGATAATTTATGAGCACATTTCATTATTTTATGTCTTCTGTATGCTTTAGTATAATATTTCTTGTCTGTCAAATAAATTTATTTCACATAAAAACATCTGTAAACACGCATGAAAATGAAATTTTTAGTTAAGCTACATATAAGAAACTACAAACCTATTTTCTGCTATTTTCTGAGCTTCTTTTAAGATCACAGTGTTTTTTCCAATGCCACCAAAGCAAAGCCTGAAATTGTATTAAAGAAAATGATACAGGCAAAAATTTAAAAAGCATGTCTGAAGTGATAATTTAAAGGAAAAAAATATTCATTTATTTAGGATTAAATGTTATTATTTTTAGTATGTTTATCACGCCTAAACAATTTACCTTGTAGATGTTGTATACTAGAATAGTTTCTTACTAACCTGAGGTCTTCGACTCCTTTCTGTTCGTTAAGCTTCGCCAAAACTCCGGAATTTATCGTGGCAACAGAAAATGTCCGTCTGCCAGAAAGCTTGTAAAATGCGCTAAATTCGCCCTATTATACGGAAAAATAGTTTTGAATAGGGAATGATTAAACATTACTTTAAAGTAATGCATGTATATGTAAACTTGACTTGAAAGGTATATAACTTCTAAATTTGTCTGAAACAATACACAATTATCGTTTAACATATAATTAAAGAGTTTCATTTTTTTGCTTTTATACTAAATAACCAAAAATTGCGTGATTTTTGCATGTGTTGAGAAAAATGAAATGCTTTAGAGTAAATGTACCTGCGTGCAGAAAGGCACCCTGACCGATTGAATAATTTCATGGCTTTGAATTTCTATGTCTAAGATTGATCCAGTTCTAACTCCTTCAACTAGAAAATAAGTAGTACAGTTCAGAAACAACAAAGAATAAGACAAACATAACAATCCTAAAAATTTTGTATTCAAACTCAACTTGGACCGCAGCAATGCACGAGTCCAGTGTCGGTTATATTAAAGTCCATGGCGGGATAAGTACCCACAGCTGATCTAGTACAAGTGATTTCACAGTCCGCAACCTAACCATTCTGCAACTATGGTCTCAGAAAAGTAAAATGTTTACCTACACTACGTTTATCAATTTCAAATGGTAAACAAATATAATTGAGGTCTTTACATTATTTAACATATAAATTATAACCAATGAGCTTAAAGCGTTTGCACCATGTGATCCAATGTTATAAAATTAGTTTACATTGAGGAGTGCAATACAGGCTTCTATCGCACGAGTACACAGCTAGTGCTTCATTACAGCCATGTCCATTAGAATCGCTATTGTACTCGACAATGAATAATAACTTGATACTTTACACTATGAACAATGTTTTGGTGAAGTATAAGAATTATTTTCATTATTTCCGGAATTTTAAGCAACACTGATTCTGTAAAGGTCAGATAGCGACATTCCGGCAAAAAAAACTCAGATGCCCCTTTGAGCATTACTTTAGGCATGAACGGAGACCCGAGTAGAATCATTGACGTTCCGTTCGCTAGCTGGACAGCTTCCTCACATGAAAGAATTCAAAGTCTCTGACGGGATTCGAACCCACATCGGTGACAGGCATGTGATTTGCACTCAGCGACCTTAATCGCCCTGCCATGGAGATTCTCAAGATTACAAGTGAAAACATTAAATACTAAAACAATATTAAACTCTACATCAACGACATTTCATTTAAGATATCAATTTATGTTAATTCATGCTCAGTCAATTTCAGTTGTTCAGAATTCTCGATTGAATTAAAATCCATTAAACATTAAAGTTTGACCATGCACAAATGGCCTTTAAAATTTATTCGGTTATCATAAGAAGTATCAAGGAAAATTAGTCTGGATAAACTTGTTAAGTTCAACTCTGAAGCTGAAATGCTCAAGTTTCATTCATCTTTTACTTATTCTGTATAGTAAATCAACTTTTTAATATGAATTTATGTATCACGTTTGAGGTAATCAAAAATGCATTACAAACGGATCAAGTATAAATCTAGGAAATGTACACTTTTAGATTATCATTAATCAATTATAAATAAAGATATACATAACCTGAAGCTACTGTTACAGCAACATTCAAAGCTTTAAACAACGTCTGTGTATCAGACGTAGAATTGTCACACATTATGCTTCCTGCAATCGTCTGTAACATCAAAAAAGACAGAAAATTATTATTATATCATATAATTTCTTCATATAATCACATAAAGTAATATTAATAAGTACAGATAATTAATTATTATTAGCATATTGCTCATACGTGTTTAATAATTTGATCAATTTGATGGTCACTTCTTTATTTCTATGATCACTTCTATAGTCCTGTGATCACATCTATAGCTATGTGCACATTTCCTTTATTCTATGATCACTTCTTAAGTTCAATGATCACTTCTATAATACATGTATTATGATCACTTCTATAGTTCTATGATCACTTCTATAGTCCTGTGATCACATCTATAGTTATGTGCACATTTCCTTTATTCTATGATCACTTCTTAAGTTCAATGATCACTTCTATAATACATGTATTATGATCACTTCTATAGTTCTATGATCACTTCTATAGTCCTGTGATCACATCTATAGTTATGTGCACATTTCCTTTATTCTATGATCACTTCTTAAATTCAATGTTCACTTCTATAATACATGTATTATGATCACTCCTATAGTTCTATGATCACTTATATAGTTCTGTGATCACATCTATAGCTATGTGATCATTTCCTTTATTCTATGATCACTTCTTAAATTCAATGTTCACTTCTATAATACATGTATTATGATCACTTCTATGATCACTTCTATAGTTCTGTGATCACATCTATAGTTATGTGCACATTTCCTTTATTCTATGATCACTTCTTAAGTTCAATAATCACTTCTATAATACATGTATTATGATCACTTCTATAGTTCTATGATCATTTCGATAGTTCTCTAATCACTTTTATAGCTCTATGATCACTTCTATAGTTCTAAGATCACTTCTATAGTTCTTTGATCATTTTTATAGTTCTATGATCACTTCTTTAGTTCTAAGATCACTTCTATAGTTCTTTGATCACTTTTATAGTTTTATGATCTCTTTTTAGTTCTTTCTGTGATCACTTCTATAGTTCTGTAATCACTTCTATAATTTGTTGATCATTTTCTATAGTTATGTGATCACTTTTAGAGTTATATGATCACTTCTTTAGTTCTATGGTTATTTCTATAGTTCTGTGATCACATCATTTTATGATAACTTCTATAGTTCTATGATCAATTTTATAGTTCTATGATAAGTCTTTTGATGAATACTTTGATAATTTCTATAGTTTTACGATGAAAAACATGACACGTTCTGTGATAAATTCAGCTAGTTTATTTCTATGATATCTTTTTTGTTTATGATATATTCAGTAGTTCTATGGTATTTTTATAAAATTCATGATAATTTTTATAGTTCTATGATAATTTTGATAGTTCAATGATAACTTTTATTGTTCTATGATATTTTTTATAGTTCTATGATAATTTTTATAGTTCTATGTTCTATGAAAAGTTCTATAGTTCTATGATTAATCCTCTGATAAGTTCTTTTATATCATGCATATTTTTTAAAATTATAAAAAACCTGTGAAAATTCTTGATCAAATTTTATATAAGATACGGGATAACAGCGTTTTAATTCAGGGTTTTTTAAGGGAAAAACTATATAAACTTACCAAAAATTCCAATCTGTCAACCGACGTGACAAAAATGTTTAAAATGGGCCTCAAAATTAATATTCTTTATTTTGGGAAAAAAATAAAAAAAGGTTACAATTAAAAAAATGGATGGAATTGTAAAAAACTATACAGGTAATTTTTTCCTCACTTTTACATGGAAAGAAAGTGCGTATTCCCTTATATATAAAAAAATTCTTTTTTTAAAAAAATAGGGAAAGTTTTTTTGTAAATAAAGGGTACCCTCATGGGAAAAATATATTTTTGTTTGTTCCCTAAATGGGGACATTTTTCTAATTAAAATTTGGACTTTTAAATTAGTCGTTTTTATTTTCACCAAAAGCGTAAAGGGATTTAAACAAATAATTTTTTCATTTCATTCATATAAACAAAAAAAAAAACAAAAAAAAAAACCTATTAAAAGTGTAACATTACCAACATGCTATAAATGTATATTATAAAATAAATTTACCATTTGAACGTTTACTTATATCATCCAGGAATTTAGAGAATTCTGAAATTGTACAAGCTCCGCCTACTGAGATGCCGTCATCATATGTGGTAATGTTTTTCAACTCCTGGACACTCCCTCCATAAATCAAGATACGCCCTTCATCGTAGGTTCCATTGGCTATGAAACTACCTAAAAGTACTCAAAATACCTATTTATATCACTATAGATTTAATAAAACAAGAATACTTAATATAATGAAAAGTACTTTTATTCCTCTTGAAAAAAGGCTTATAAAACGTAATCATAATCAGTTATATTTAAAGATAAAATTAAATTCTACATGTATATAGAATCTTACACGAGATTAAACTACCTGAAGCATTATATCTTACATCTGTACATGTCAGGTAGACTAAAGATATCTGTCATATTTTGCGGTTCGGATCCGAATATCCGTCCCGAGGTGACCCGCCCATTGGCCGGTAACGAGGCTTGCCGAGTTACCGCCCATGGGCGGGTGACCGAGGGACGGATATTCCGATCCGAACCGCAAACATATGTCAGATATTTTTTCTTGCATATTCTACCATATTCCATTATATTTTAAATTCTTTATCTTTATTTTCAATGAAAATTTATATTATTTCAACCGTAACTACTTTCATTCAACAGCGTATGAATTACAAAATCATTCATAACGGTAAAATGACGTCATCTTTATCGTGCCATTGTACAGCACGCGACTCATCTGGAACCCCCCATGCCAGATGAAATTTCCGGCATGGGTAAAACTAACGGAAACGCTAGTCTGATATGCAAGAAATATAATTTGTATTTGACACTTTTTTGTCAGATGAGAAATATTAAATTAAAAAAAAAATTTCTAAATTTAAATCGCGTCAATTTGGACAAATCTCGTGCGCCTACGAAAAGTAGGTAAAGAGCACATCCAATCAATAGATTTTAAGAAAAGAAAATGGACGCTTTCTAATCATTCTGTAAGCTATTTAACTTATTATCTTGATACTATTGTACAACACCTGTTGTCATATTCCCCATTATTATTGGCGCTTGTGGGTATTTCTGCTTCAGCACGAGCAATTCATTCAGGGAAGCAGGCCTTATCCATGTCATGTCACCGTCGGTAAACTTTACTTGATTGTTAAAATACTTTTCACAATTTAGCTGAAGAAATCAAAATAAATTCATTTAAGATATATTCGGCTTAGTAAGATTTCTTTCCTACATACATGTAATTTATATCAACGGAGAGTCTCAAAATAGCATTTATTTTTTTTTATTTTACAAAGGTGGCATTATCTTTGCTTAAATTTGCATAATATACATGTATAACATTTTAAATCAATTTAATACAGTAATATACTATCATCATTTATATTTTATGTCTACCATCGTTGTATAGTATTACCTGCAACTCGGGCGGAAATATAGCAACTTGTGAGTCATCACCAAGTTTGTCTGCAATCTGTAACAGGAAACATTCATTATATACTAATTTTAACATTTTATTATTTTACATTTTTATTTGTATAAGCACTATATAGATGTACATTAGAATAATAAATCAATTACGTAAATATTGTAATTAATAATTTTCGTTCATTTTATGTTTATTTTTCATTTCTTCATATTTTTATTATAACACGGGGGGGGGGGGGTATTTCTTTTACGGTGTCACCATCCCCACCTTCAACTTATACAATCAAAAACACAGACACACATCAGTTAGGTAAGTATTATATAAAATGATTATTATACAATACCGATGTTTGAATAACTGCCGGCTTCTTCCTGCAACATGCGTCTCCATTCGGACAAAATTCCTGAAAATTCCATATATTTCATTTTTTTCTTTTCGTTTAATTTGTATGTATTTATTTATATATTTTTTTGGCTCCAGAGGGATCACCTTTTTTCTTTTTTTTCCTCTGGTAAAAACAACCATTTCAAGTGATAGCTTAACCACATTAGCTGACGTATTTTAAGCACGGGGTGTTATAAGTATCTTAGTTTAATTGTCAGTTTTTATCTGATAAAAGAATGCATTTTTTTCTATTTGAGCTGCGCCATGACAAAACCAACATAATGGGTTTGCGACCAGCATGGATCCAGACCAGCCTGCGCATCCACGCAGTCTGATCAGGATTCATGCTGTTCGCTGTCTGTTTCTCTACTTGTAATAGGGTTGGTAAGCGAACAGCATGGATCCTGATCAGACTGCACGGATGCGCATGCTGGTCTGGATCAATGCTGGTCGCAAACCCACTATGTTGGTTTTGTCATGACACGGCTCATTTGTACATGGCATTTATGAATCATCGGTATGCACGGGTAAAAAGACTATGGTTTAATTTAACTTCTTACCTCACTTGAGCCAAACAAGGCATCAACAATAGATCTATATCCGGTACATCTGCACAAGTTCCCTGAAATGCACAAATACATAATCCAGCATCTTAAAGGATCATTAATCAGCGGATTACCAACTGAGCCCCCTGGTCGATTTATGTTTAAGGGGTTGTAACCATATTATAAAAAACACATATAACCGTAAAATATGAGTCCCCTTATGGACATGATTTCTGCTCATAGTCATAAAACAATAATTATGATACTCAGGCAAATTAATGACAAAAATATTAAAATGATCTTATGTACTCACATCACGCTAAAATGGCATTATTTGAAGTCCAAGCATAAATTTCTGTATAAATTCTATATATTTTGGGTTTGAAGCGTAAATATATCTATATACGTTGAATTTAATTTAGACGCCGACTCAATCACTGAGTAGTTTTAAAATAAGCCATGTGACTTTAACAAACCCTTGAAGTTACAATAACAGATACTGTGGATATTGTATGATTGAACCAAGTCTAAGGCATTCATATAGGTTTAACAATATTTTATTTATAAGTATTACATTTACATATGATAATTGACAAATAATAGATAATACGGATTGAGTAGGAAGCTTGAAAAGCTTTTTTAGAAACTCTTTCCGTAAGGCATTCATTTGACATGTTATTTAACGTTTCTAACGTTTCCAGTTTTTACTGTGACAACTATTGCGAAATTTTAACGCTCTAACCTGACCAACGTAGGTCAAGTTAGGAAACCACCATTTTATTCTTTTTAAGGACAAAGGACAAAAGCTTTGTCCCTGTGTCTGCCTAATGTATTCATTTTGAGGACATTTACAGAATAATGAATGGAAAATTCAATAAGAAGAAACGTGTCTCCCTTTAAAGGCACATTATGCATCGGAAACGAATAAATTTTTTAAACCTTCTTCATAAAGGACAAGCTTGAGTTTTAAAATGTTTTTTTAAAATCAAATATTTTTTTGAGCATGCAAGATGTTTATTACCTGAGAAAAGAAGCTCTGAATGTAAAACAATTTGTCATAAAAGTAGCAAAATGTAAACAATTTAGTACATATTTTGACTTCCATATCAAATACTTAATCTCTATAACTGTACTAATTTCCAGAAAGCAGCAGAAAGGTAACTGGCCAATGAGTAACGTTTTGGAATCTATAACAGGACACCAAAAAAAAAAAAAAAAAAACCTTTTGAGAAAATTAAAAATAAAAACAATTGTAGGTCATAATGGGCCTTAAACTTACCCTCTATAGCACGTTCAATTTGATGACGTGTTGGGTTTGGAAAGTTCCTTTGTAGAGCAAACGCTGACATGACGAAACCCGGAGTACAGAAACCACATTGTAAACCATGTGATTCAATCAGCCTTCGCTGTAAATATTTCAAAGTTGTATTTTAGATTTGCTTTATCTTAATCACATTTATATATTATATTGTATTGTAGTGTAGTGTAGTGTAGTGTAGTGTAGTGTAGTGTAGTGTAGTGTAGTGTGAAGTGTACTGTGTATTGTATTGTATTGTATTGTATTGTAGTGTATTGTAGTGTAGTGTAGTGTGAAGTGTACTGTGTATTGTATTGTATTGTATTGTATTGTATTGTAGTGTAGTGTACTGTACTGTACTGTACTGTACTGCACTGCACTGCACTGTACTGTACTGCACTGCACTATATCCTATCCTATCCTATCATACCATACCATACCATACCATAATGTACCATATCATATCATATCATATAATATCATATCATATCATATATATTAAATTATATTATATTATATTATATTATATTATATTATCATTATATTATATTATATTATATTATATTATATTATATTATATGCATGTAGATTCTACATAATTTAATGTTTTGAAATTATTATATATTGTAGTCCAAAACATTTCATAGGGGCAACTACATATGAAACACAATAATGTCTAAATTGAAAGTATTGAAATTAACAATGATTCGCATGTGACATTTAATGAAGTGTGACAAAATATTTTTCATTGACCTAGATATAAAATTATATTTATAAATAGATATTCCTTTTCATGTTAACGAAGTACCTGAATGGCATGTAGTCCTGTTGCTGGGTTTCCTATGCCCTCCACCGTGGTCACAGCTAGGCCATGTGCAGCACAGACCGGAAATAAGCAAGCGTTTACCGCGTAGTGAATTGTTTTCCGTCAAGGAAATAAATCATAAATGTAACTAAATACTTCTAAAGATATAAAGATATTTTCAAGAACGTTACAACAGTATAACACGAACAGAATAAAGGATACTGGATTGCTTTCCTGATGACGTCATACCTGGATATCATGACAGTGCAAGAGCCACACCCTCCGTGACCACAACCTTCCTTTGTCCCTGGCAAGCATACTTAAAAACAATATGTAAATTACCGAGCTTAGATTAAATGACTTATGAAAGCTCAGATTTAACGTTTTTAGTAATTAATTATACTCTCTACATGCATTGCCTTGGACATGATATAGGACATATCAAATTTATTTCATTTCAGAGGAACATGTTTATAGTCATCGTCGGATACCCACGGCCGAACCATTAACATTCATCAGTGCATGTTATGTGACATGTTTATCAATCGTGGGTATCCGACGATGGTTTACGGTATATATTTGCATAGAGTCCCATAAAAATGACATCGTACGTACATGTGTACATACTAATCTTTTTTCCAAAATGTATTTTATTGTAAAGTTTAAAAGAAATAAATTTTTGTTAAATTAACATTTTGTATCAACAAAAATTTTGCGTTCAAACATTTACATGGGGGTTGAACCCCATATCGAGGGTTCAAAGGTAAAAGGTAATAACTGCCATTTTCAAGATTTCGAGAAAAACGCAAAAAACATATTTTTTTAATACAACTTTATTTTCCGTAATATTGTTATAACAATTTTGATTCTCCCATATTTGTTGACTACATTATATCGAGGGTTCAAAGGTAAAAGGTAATAACTGCCATTTTCAAGATTTCGAGAAAAACGCAAAAAACATATTTTTTTAATACAACTTTATTTTCCGTAATATTGTTATAACAATTTTGATTCTCCCATATTTGTTGACTACATTAGATCATATTTTGTTTAGTTGACATTGCTTGGTGCTGATAAAACACTGTAATTATAGTTTGTTTTAAAGTTCTAAGATCAAAATAATATCATTTTACAGAAGTAAAAGGTAATAAATGTACTTAGATCCTGTCAAGACTACAAGTTTGAGCGGTAAAAGGTAATAACTGCACTTACGACCTTTTACTTCTGAAGGTTTAGCAATAAAAGTTAGAGATAAACTGTGGTAAAAGGTTATAAGTGCAGTTATATAGCCTTGTTCCTCTGAAAAATTTAGATGTTGCAGTAATTGTTACTGTTGCAAATTTATCAATTATGTCGTTACTTTGAAGAACCTTACGTATAAATGTAATTAACACAATGCAAATTAATACTCGTACACAAAATTAACACTTTTCATTCATAGAAATATGAAATATGTACCTGCGCAATATTTAGATTCTACAAAAATAAATTAATAACTAAAAAGTTTACGAAAATACGCACTAAAATCTAAGTTTACAAATTTCATTTATTTTGAATGTTCTCTGGCATATAATCGAACTGAAGTCAAACAGACCCCAGACATCAGCAATTAAGGATATTAGTGACCCATATCATAGTTAAGTAATAAAGACTACTGTTTCATGTCACAAAATGTGAATGTTTGTCATAAATTATTCTATGACCTCCACTCATCTTCTTCACTCTCACTAACAGAAGGCACTGAAAGTTTGTCTTTTATAGATTTGCTGCATGGCAATGACTCATAGTATGATTCGCACTCCTTCGGAATTGTTCCAGAGGCAACAAGTGACATCAAATCAGCTTTTGCAGCAGATATTGGAAGCTTCTCTGTATAAGCCTTTCGTGGAGCCTTAAGAGACTTTTCTTTGCTTCTGTTCTTCTTCTGCATTAACCTAACTGCCTTGAACTCACTAACTACAAAACCATAGCTCACAACAATACTGTATTTTTGTCTTTATCTATCTCCAGTCATTACGTCATATGAAAACGTCACATGTTAAGCAGCAAAACAAAACTACATATAGATGTTATTTTATCGGGGAAAAAGAAGAATGAAACCATTTAATTGTTCTAAAAACATTATTAAAAGCAGGATAAAACAAATACATGGTTGATGTCGGACTGGAGAAGGTTTATCCGGTTCACTGCGAAAGTGAATCTTGGCTTGCTAAAGCTCGCCAAGATACACTTTCTAGCTCACCGGATAAGCCTTATCCATCCCTAAATCAACCATGTATTTTATATATATTTAGCCAATTAACACGTTCACCATCAATATCGATTTTCATTGAGCCAAAGTTTTGTTCTTTGTACAACTTGTAATCTAGTTTGTCATTGTATTTTATTAGAACGACAATATATGGTTGCTTCCGGCGTGCTTATGATATAACTGTTTCCCACTGCGATGGAACATGAACTATTGTAAGGCTTTTTGCAGGCTTGATAGATGCATGTATGGAATTTGCATTCCATTAATGAATGGCCAATTTCAAGAAATGTGTGGTTTTACCATTGATGTGAGGTATATCTTGGACACAGTGAACTAAGCAACTTGCAACAAACTGATTGCAATTCTGTCCTCCACATGCATTACTATATAATGTCACTTCTTCAATACCAGATGTCTTACTGGCAACAGAGGTTACATACAAGTACACAAAAGTTCCTACTTTGCACGAGCCTGGTTTCCCCATGTGTCTCATCCAACAGATAACAAGTCCCGTTACCATTTCCCAGTTCATAGAATGACAAATTGCAACAACACAGTTTTGTTTTGTAACGAAGATCACCAATTAAACCGAGTGGTGTTTTCAAAATAGCCTGGATATCAAATGCCGACACAGAAAACTTTGGATCTTTCTTTGTGCGTTTTTTATCGGCTGATTTTTGCATTCTTGCACTGTTTTTTTTCTTTTTGGTCACTTGGTGTACTTGATATTTTGCTTTTGTTGCCTCATCTAGTCTATCTTCTATTCTCAAAGTGTCATACAGATTGCAGAGTGGACATTGATCTTTCTTAGGACGGAAGAAAAAAGTTACATTCTGTACTAAAAATGATTCTGTACACAGCCTCTGAAACACACTTTCTATTTTGTCCTTTGCATTTTTCTACATACAGTGAGTAAATTCGTTTTATATTTAAATCTTGCGTTAGATACTTCCTGTTGGGGTCTTCGTGTGTAGTGTGATTCAACAGTCGGAAAGCTTTCGTTGTGTTTCTTTACAAATGATCTGTGATATTCCGTGGTTTTATTTCCAGGCACAGCTTTCCCTCTCTTGTCATTTCCAACATATAACCCTGCCACTTTGTGCTTAACTGCGTTTGCAACTGTTTTGGAACCGACATCGATAGTTTTTAGTAAAAAATTCTGGAAACAAAGTGATCCCTCGGAAGCATTAATCACAACAAAATTACATAAAAATTGCAGACTCGGTTTGATTGAGTCTGTACATGAGAGATAATGAATAAGTGCAACATCCCTCACGCCTTCTTTTCTACCTGTGTGAAAAACGAATTCGAAAAAGTCTTTGTTTTGTTCTCTGTTTAGATACATTCTCTGGTTCTTTATTGGCAACATGGAAACAAATGAATTGCCTCTGACCCCATTGACCAGTATGTACTGAATATTTTCTGTCTTTCATATTCGGTTATATTCTCGCTGCATTTAATTATAAAAGATAAATTTCGTGGGAAAAGAGATAACAGATAGTGCCTGTGAACTGTATGAATGCAGCATTCTGTCAGGGGAAAAAGGTGATAAAATCAGTTATAACCTTTTTCCACTACAGATTCTTCACAACATGTGGAACAACAAGTAAACAACAGGTAATAAGTACACTTAGAACCTTTTACCCCTAAATAATTTGTAGAAAAGAAGTTATTACAAAATACTTTTTAATTTTTTGCCCTTATAAGGATTGAATATTTATATAATATTTTCTTCAGACATAAAGGACAATAAGTACATTATAAAAAACATAAAAAGTCAATTTCGGCAAAAGTGGCAGTTATAACCTTTTACCTTTGAACCCTCGATATCATATTTTGTTTAGTTTACATTGCTTGGTGCTGATAAAACACTGTAATTATAGTTTGTTTTAAAGTTCTAAGATCAAAATAATATCATTTTACAGAAGTAAAAGGTAATAAATGTACTTAGATCCTGTCAAGACTACAAGTTTGAGCGGTAAAAGGTAATAACTGCACTTACGACCTTTTACTTCTGAAGGTTTAGCAATAAAAGTTAGAGATAAACTGTGGTAAAAGGTTATAAGTGCAGTTATAGCCTTGTTCCTCTGAAAAATTTAGATGTTGCAGTAATTGTTACTGTTGCAAATTTATCAATTATGTCCTAACTTTGAAGAACCTTACGTAATGTAATTAACACAATGCATATTAATACTCGTACACAAAATTAACACTTTTCATTCATAGAAATATGAAATATGTACCTGCTCAATATTTAGATTCTACAGAAATAAATTAATAACTGAAATGTTTACGAAAATACGCACTAAAATCTAAGTTTACAAATTTCTTTTATTTTGAATGTTCTCTGGTATATAATCGAACTGAAGTCAAACAGACCCCAGACATCAGCAATTAAGGATATTAGTGACCCATATCATAGTTAAGTAAATAAAGACTACTGTTTCATGTCACAAAATGTGAATGTTTGTCATTAATTATTCTATGACCTCCACTCATCTTCTTCACTCTCACTAACAGAAGGCACTGAAAGTTTGTCTTTTATAGATTTGCTGCATGGCAATGACTTATAGTATGATTCGCACTCCTTCGGAATTGTTCCAGAGGCAACAAGTGACATCAAATCAGCTTTTGCAGCAGATATTGGAAGCTTCTCTGTATAAGCCTTTCGTGGAGCCTTAAGAGACTTTTCTTTGCTTCTGTTCTTCTTCTGCATTAACCTAACTGCCTTGAACTCACTAACCACAAAACCATAGCTCACAACAATACTGTATTTTTGTCTTTATCTATCTCCAGTCAGTACGACATTTGATAACGTCACATGTTTAGCAGCAAAACAAAACTACATAATTATAGATGTTATTTTATCGGGGAAAAAGAAGAATGAAACCATTTAATTATTCTAAAAACATTATTAAAAGCAGGATAAAACAAATACATGGTTGATGTCGGGCTGGAGAAGGTTTATCCGGTTCACTGCGAAAGTGAATCGTGGCTTGCTAAAGCTCGCCAAGATACACTTTCCTATTCACCGGATAAGCCTTATCCATCCCTAAATCAACCATGTATTTTATATATATTCAGCCAAATAACACGTTCACCATCAACATCGATTTTCATTGAGCCAAAGTTTTGTTCTTTGTACAACTTGTAATCTAGTATAATTATCATTGTATTTTATTAGAACGACAATATATGGTTGCTTCCGGCGTGCTTATGATATAACTGTTTCCCACTGCGATGGAACTATTGTAAGGCTTTTTGCATGCTTGATAGATGCATGTTTGGAATTTGCATTCCATTAATGAATGGCCAATTTCAAGAAATGTGTGGTTTTACCATTGATGTGAGGTATATCTTGGACACAGTGAACTAAGCAACTTGCAACAAACTGATTGCAATTCTGTCCTCCACATGCATTACTATATAATGTCACTTCTTCAATACCAGATGTCTTACTTGCAACAGAGGTTACATACAAGTACACGAAAGTTCCTACTTTGCACGAGCCTAGTTTCCCCATGTGTCTCATCCAACAGATAACAAGTCCCGTTACCATATTCCAGTTCATAGAATGACAAATTGCAACAACACAGTTTTCTTTTGTAACGAAGATCATTAATTAAACTGAGTGGTGTTTTCAAAATAGCCTGGATATCAAATACCGACACAGAAAACTTTGGATCTTTCTTTGTGCGTTTTTTATCGGCTGATTTTTGCATTCTTGCACTGTTTTTTTTTTCTTTTTGGTCACTTGGTGTACTTCATATTTTGCTTTTGTTGCCTCATCTAGTCTATCTTCTATTCTCAAAGTGTGATACAGATTGCAGAGTGGACATTGATCTTTCTTAGGACGGAAGAAAAAAGTTATATTCTGTACTAAAAATGATTCTGTACACAGCCTCTGAAACACACTTTCTATTTTGTCCTTTGCATTTTTCTACATACATATATTCGTTTTATATTTAAATCTTGCGTTAGATACTTCCTGTTGTGGTCTTCGTGTGTAGTGTGATTCAACAGTCGGAAAGCTTTCGTTGTGTTTCTTTACAAATGATCTGTGATATTCCGCGGTTTTATTTCCAGGCACAGCTTTCCCTCTCTTGTCATTTCCAACATATAACCCTGCCACTTTGTGCTTAACTGCGTTTGCAACTGTTTTGGAACCGACATCGATAGTTTTTAGTAAAAAATTCTGGAAACAAAGTGATCCCTCGGAAGCATTAATCACAACAAAATAACATAAAAATTGCAGACTCGGTTTGATTGAGTCTGTACATAAGAGATAATGAATAAGTGCATATCCCTCACGCCCTCTTTTCTACCTGTGTGAAAAACGAATTCGAAATAGGTCTTTGTTTAGTTCTCTGTTTAGATACATTCTCTGGTTCTTTATTGGCAACATGGAAACAAATGAATTGCCTCTGACTTATGTAATCACCCATTGACCGGTATGTACTGAATATTTTCTGTCTTTCATATTCGGTTATATTCTCGCTGCATTTAATTCTAAAAGATAAATTTCGTGGGAATAGAGATAACAGATAGTGCCTGTGAACTGTATGAATGCAGCATTCTGTCAGGGGAAAAAGGTGATAAAATCAGTTATAACCTTTTTCCACTACAGATTCTTCACAACATGTGGAACAACAAGTAAACAACAGGTAATAAGTACACTTAGAACCTTTTACCCCTAAATAATTTGTAGAAAAGAAGTTATTACAAAATACTTTTTAATTTTTTGCCCTTATAAGGATTGAATATTTATATAATATTTTCGTCAGACATAAAGGACAATAAGTACATTATAAAAAACATAAAAAGTCAATTTCGGCAAAAGTGGCAGTTATAACCTTTTACCTTTGAACCCTCGATATGTATCTCAAAAATGAGCATCGGTAAAAATTATATGTGAATTTCCGCTACACCAGATGTGAAGCATAACACCAGCATAACACCAGATGTGACTGTAAAAATAGGTCAATCGCAGGGTCAGTTTTCATCTTTTTAAACATTTATTTAAATTTCAATCCTTTTTTTAAAGAAAATCGAAATGTGATTCTACCCTCCTGACTCTGCTCTATATTACCCATTTTTGTTTTGGATTTCTCTGCAGTCTTCATCGAGATATTTTTTCCGTCGTGGGTTCTGGTGTGTCCAAAACATGCACTGTGAATGAAGAAAATGTCACCAAAAGAGATTTTACGAAATCTCACTACAGACCGATGCTTAACATTCACACAAATCCTGATTTAAACATTAAGTTAGATTTGGCTACAAACGAAGGAATCGTTGCTAAAAATTGCATTTGAGTTCCATATGTGCTGAAGAGATCCATAGGTGATGTAGAAAACCATCTACAAAACTACGGGTAACTTCCGTATAATCATTAAATAGCCAATGTATAGAAACAATTTAGGTTTTGAAGTTTTGGTGGAAAGTTCAATTGTAACATTAGTGTGTTTGGTCACCACAGTGACAGGGCTCACTAGCTTATGCTAGCATTAAATAGATACACTA